AAATAAATTTTTCTCTGTTTTCTCTCTTTTTTTCTGCGCGAGAGAGAGAGAGAGAGAGAGAGAGAGAGAGAGAGAGAGAGAGAGATGTATGAGAGAGAGAGAGAGAGAGAAATAGAAAGAGGAAAGAACAAAAAAAAAGATTTTAACTGCTTCATTCATCATCATGAGAAGCTTGACATGGAATTTCAAATAAAACGAAAAGATAAATTTGATTTTTTTACGAAATTAAACATCAAAGATGGCACATTTCCAACCAACTTTCAGAGTCATTATTCTTGTCATTAAAATTGAAAATGTATGATTTTCCTTTAACAAAACTTTCCTTTTTGGCTTTGCATTTTTGAATTTTTTATTTGAAAAACTGCAATTTCGTGCGTGGCATTTCGTTTTGTGCCTTCTGATGTAAACTGTTAATCCCAAGAGAGAGATAGAGATAGAGAGAGAGAAGGATAGATTGAAGGGGAGAGACGTTCATCTACCTCCTCAATCTCAAATTCTCCATTACAAATACCTTCTTTCCCACCATATATGGCTGTCTGACTCATTCATAAAAAAGATTTTTCTTTTCCTCTTTCTTATACTTCGCATAACGCTTATGTTTAAGATTTTGGCAAACATCTGTCAATCATCATATGAAATCAGTGGAAAAAGGTCATCAACGCCCATTTCTACCTCTTCATTCGACCGTTCCTTCATCTTTCTTATCAAATTATGCAAATTCATCATTTCACAACATAACTTGATTTGGATGTTCCAATGATCCATATTTCCAGTATAATCTCAATATTCAAAGAACTTTTTAAACTAATTTTCACGCTTCATATACTGTTTGCTAATTATATGTGACAAGTTAATTATGAATTTATACGTTTCATTTCCGTTTACCTTCAACCTATCACTTTCTCTCTCTCTCTCTCTCTCTCTCTCTCTCTCTCTCTCTATTCTCTCTTTCATTGCTCTCTGTAGCCGCCACCGCCTTTACAGTCAACCTCTCTCATCTATCAAAGCATTTTTTTTATAAAACAACTTGTCCTCTCTTTTAAAATTTGACAAATTTTAACTTAAAAATGCATGTTTGAATAAAAGAAAAACGATGTCAAATATCAGAAATGAATGAGGAAAACTTCTTGTTCTTTACTCTCCTCAAAACAAAAGGCCTTTTTTGATTAAATAAACTTCAACAACATCCTTCAGCTTCTTCTTCTCCAGCTTCTTCTTCTTTACTAAGTTTATGCAAATTTACAGCGATTTTCATGAATTTTCATAAGTTTTTTCGATTGAATTCCTTATTTTAGTTTCTGAAATCTCTCTTTCGATCATTCGTATGATGATGTGAGGAGTAAAGACTCAAGTCAGTCCGTCTGTCAGTCGTTTCTATGAAACTATCCTTTTATGGAAGCAACACATGTATCTATCCATGTTATACAAGAAATATATGCACATGTTAGTATAAAACCATATGATTATACATAGTATTACATAATTATGTGTAAATATTCCTTTATTAGCTTTAAACAACCAACGCTTCCATGCTTTTCATTCATTACAATACAACTTCACGTTCAATATCCCATCATCTCATAAATTTGAATATTGATTTGTTTTTTTTTCAAAACATATTTGACTCTTTTAAGCTTTATTCTACATTTCTCCTATCCAATCCCCCTTCCATTCCTCCTCCCTATTTTCGAATTCAACCGTTTGTTGGCTGCTGCCAGACGTCGGCCAAATAAGGACAGCCCGGCTTTGGGGTGTGGCCAAGCACTTGGTCCATTCAATCTGTCTTCATTCCATTCTTCTTTTAAACCCAAAATCCTATTTAAATTTTAATATTTTCCAGATAGTTTATGATTGAAAAATGATTTTGATACTTCTAGCCGTGCTTGTCTCATCAGGTATTTTCATTTGCTTTTTCATGAGAAAATCTCAGAGGATGTTGAGAGAGAATACCAAAATACACTTTCGATTCTCAATTCAATTTCCATTTTTCCCAGTCGAATTTCCATTTTTGTTTTGTTTTCTATTCCTCAAAATCACCACAAAAACACTTTGATATTTGAATGAAAAACGAGGAGCATTGAGTTGTGGTCAGTTGAAAAGATCTTTAATAGCTCTCCTTCTGGTGTTCAAAAGAGAATAAAGAGTCTCTCAGCATGAAAATTTACCCGAATTTCAGCTTCTTCTTCAAATGAAGTTTATGATTTACGAATTTACGAAGGTGCTGAGAAAGCAACTAGACTCACAATGAGTTCTGAGCTTCAAAAAGAGATTGAAAGAACAAAAAGCTGTTTTGGTCAGTTAGAAACTGATATCGATTGGATAGAATATAGGTTAGATACTTGAAAGAACAAGTTGAACTAACACCATGTCAGATCATCTCGTAATGCATTCTATACAACTAAGGTAGTTCATTCTTCTCGTAACGCTCCTGATTATATAGCTACTTTACATTTGTAAGTCCTTATTTAGGAATATTTCCATTCAAGCAAATTCTTATGTTCCAAAGTATAATTATTCAGATTATGTACTGGAAATCGTATGCATTCCATTGATCTCCGTGTCATTATATCACACCGTAATCATCATGCTCCAACATTTTTGAAACAAAATTATAATTTTTATGTGCCAATTAGCTCTGCTAAGGATAGTTTGATAGCAGAGATTCAGGTATTTCATACAATGTTCCATTCAAAATTCATTTTCCATTAAAGGTCACCGATAATGATCCTGTCATTTATAATTCTGAAAGACTTCTTACTTTCACCAAAGAGGAAAAGATGTTCGAAATCAATGGCAACGGAAGTATATTTCTGAAGACTTCCTTAGAAAATGAAGTAGCTTATCGTCCAATTCGAACTCAGGTTTTTCTCCACTCAATCTTACACTCAACTTCAAATAACTCTTTTCGCAGGTCTTAGCCATCGACTATGGCTCGCCACAATTATATTCCATCGTCAATTTGACAATCGTTCCAGTGACCGTTTCTGGTAGGAAATGAAATTTTTTGCTCAAGAACAAAGAAAAGACTCAAATACTTTACAGCTGTGCGTGATCTTTCCGTTAATGTCGCAACTTCCGATTATCAAATACTTCAATGGGATTTACCGTCATATGGTCATGCCGATCGCTATCGTTTGATTATAAGAAAAGAACATGAGATAGTTTATGAGGATGAGTTGGACGGAACAAAAACAAAAGTTTTGACTAAAGTTTCTATTTATTTCCGTTTCATTTGCAATTCTCTCTGCCTTAGGTGTCAATTGCAAGTGAAGGCAAATTCTCGTATCAACTAATATCCATGGACGCATCTGGTCAAACTCCATCTGATATTCAATATATAAACGTCATTCATAAAGGTATAATCAACAGAAATTCATTTTGCTACTTGTAAATTTCAGATCTCACTTGTGCTGGTGAATGCTCAAGAGGTGGGAGTCCTTTATGCTTCTACGGAAAATACAATCGTATTGAGCAGTTTCACGATGAACACGGAGCTCATTGTCTCTGTTTTCCGGGATTCTCGGGAATTTCTTGTTCGAACGTTGGTCAGTTATATCCATTTAATTGATTTTCATAGATACTTGAGTGTGTAAGAAGCTTGTTCCTGTCAATTCTTTCGGCTCGTTATCGTTTTCATTGAACCATATATGGAGGTTAGAGAGCGAATTTCCTGCTCTCCCATTCTCTTCGAAACAATCCGTTGAAGCTGTGAAATAAGGATAGAGTCTTAGATACTGAGGATATATAGAGAGAAATGGAGAGAACATAGATAAAAGAGCAAAGAGAGAGAAAGAGGTCTAACACCGGTCATTAAATCTGTATGTCCGCTCGTCGAAGATCTTTCGTTGCCCTGACCGGAATTAGCTGTTCCGTGTAAAGAGGACAAGACGGACCGGCAATTTTCTGAAAGATTTTGTTGCCAAATAGTGCGGACAAGACCAAAAGCTATGAATGTTACCAAAAGAATAGAAAAGAGTCAGATATGGTGCGATGAAGATAGAGAGGGAGAGAAGAGAGCACTTAATTACGCGACGACAAACGCATCCATAATATTCATAATGACAACACTTATATTCTGCCTTATGACCATATGACTCAATCAAAGTCCATCGGCAGAAGCTTGTTAGAAGAGACGGCATGTTTTTGTTCGAAAACTATTAGGGTTGAATGCTTTGATCGTTAATGAAGTGGTCTGTCACAATAAACTCAACGTTTTCAGCGACCTGTATGATGGATAAGACCATTTCCGCTTATGGTGGAGTAGATTGGCCAGAAGTTTCAACAAACATAACGAGTAAACTACATTGTGAGCTTCAATTTTCAACAATTTAATTTTAAAAAACGAAATTACTAGGTCCTTACAATATGATGGATGATTCAATTTATTTGGAAAGAACTTGTCTTTGGGATAAAAACTTCAATCAAGCCATCTGGTCTAGAATAAGTGGAGAAGATCAATGTAAAACACAGGTTACTTTTCTTTTATTCTATATCTTTCTCTGAGAAGTTAAAAAGGAATAATGTGACTAAAAGGGTCGTTTACTTGTCCATTTTTTTCGTTTGCGTTCCATTTTTTTAAAACCACAATGTCAGGGTTTCAAATATATTTCATGAACGATGACAGGTGTCCATTTTGTACAATTTTTGTTAACAAATGCTTTTTCTGAAGGTAAAAAAAAATTTTCAGCGTTCGGTGCTCACTCATGTCGGTGTATTGGGAACATTTCTAGGAAATGCTCATAGTGTTTCAACAATCAACACCGTAGCCAAGTATGCATGCTTCTGGGGGGCTTAGCTATGAAATTTAAATCTTTCTAGGTTTATCAAGGACTTAATGAAAGTTCCAGCATTCTCACTTGATAAAACTCATGCTCACTTCGATCAGAAAATAGCTGAAGATGTGACACGTCTAATAGATATACTAATGCCTTTGAAGATTGATAGAATGTCTGGCAACGCAACATTAGCGAAAGTATACTACTCAACGAATCTATCATCTGTTTATATTCTATATTTTTAGACATATATGTTCAGTGCTATTCTTGAATTGTCTAAAAGGTTACCAGTGCCAATATCTTTATCATCTCCAGAACATACTGTTGAAATGAAAGCCTTGGACTGGCCCAAACATGTGGACAACTACGGTCTACTTTTAGGAACGAGATGCCGAGTTAATGTAAGGCTCACCTCTAATACAGTATTATTATTTTTATTTTTCTAGTTACCAAGAATCTACGACTCACGTGTTATTCGAGCTCTTTGTATGACTAATTCCACTTTATTTGAGATTGTGAACACAAGGTTTTCAATTTTTCTTTTACTTCTATAACTCTTTTTGCTCAAAGGGATCCCATTGTTGTTTTGTCAACAGACAGCAAGCCTGGAGAGTTTGAACCTGTGGAAAACTTGGGAAAAATAACAATCTTACTAAAACCTTCTAACAAGTATGAGAATTTCACATGTGTGCGCTATGAACCTTCAAGTTTGTTGTTTCGGGCTTCAAGGCTCACAACAGTTTATTTTTTATAGTTAATGGGTGGACTCCAGAAGATGTTTTCCAAGTTCATCATTCATATCATGGTTTCGTTAAGTGTGAAGTATCGAGATTTGGAATCTATTCCATTCTTCCTGTATGTTTCTACATAATGAGTGTATAGACCAAGATGATTTCAGGAAAAGATGTTTGAAGAAAGTAATAGCATGACCGATATATCTGCTCTTCTACCCTCTGTTACAACCATTTGCTCCATTATGTGCTCGATTTTCTTGCTCTTCATGGCTGCTGCTCAAAGGTATTTTAATTGCTTCTGTTTCTTGTTTTATTACGAATCATATTGCAGAAATCAAACAATCGATGTAGCTCTACTGGTTTTCTTATTTTTTGTTTTCCTCCTGAACATTACTCATCTAGTGATGGTAATAGCTCCTCAGGTTGGATTGACGAGATGCATCTAGTACCAGATTATTAATATTTTTAGGTTGGCGATCCTTTCGCTATCACTCCAGCACTTCATTTGCTCATGCAGTTCTCTATTTTGTCTATATCATCATCTCTATACTTAGTTATAGCATCCATAAGAGATGTCATAATTAAAATTATCAAAGCCAATAATAATATTGAAAACAATAATGGTAAAGAAGAACTTATGGAAGAGAAATGTTGCTCACGTCCATTCACTGTCGTCACTCTATGTTTTAGTAAGAAACTGAGTTTATTCAAACCTTCTTACTCTCTTTTACAGTTCTTCCTGCAATTCTAACATTCTCCTCATACATCTACACGGATGAATCGGAACTCTCCATAAAAAGGTTTCGGTTGAGTTATTAAGTAGCATATGAGTTTTAAATTCAGATTTATGGGTTATGACTGGCTTTTCATAGGTAATTTCTTATTCCCTACAGTCTTTTTCTGTAGCCTGAGCTTCGCCTTCACTTTGTGGAATGTGTACATCGGATCTTCAGCTAGGTAAGACGAAGCTCAATAATTGTACATAGCTAAGCTTATAGAAACCGTAACCGTGCTTCTGATCGCTACCTTGCCATCTCACCAGCAGTTCAAAGCTCTGTCACAGTGATCTTCCAAGTTAGAACCTCATTATGAATCGGCTTCTAAATCAGTTTCAGATGTGTTTCCTATATATTACTATTGTAACATTCTACTTCCGAAAAGAATCGCTCATGGTTGCCATTATGTTTTCGGCGTCCCAAATTCTCTATTCAATTGGTTCTTTCATATTTGGATCCTACATATTTCGGTAACTTTGTTATTAATTATTGAGAAATCAAAGACTTATTATGAAACGGAGTAGAGATATATAGCACAACCACTAGCAAGGTCAGACATTTCATAGATGAAATCAGTCATGTCAAGTCACTCGAGTCAATCACTTAATTAGCATAGAATTTGATAGTTCATAAAGTGACTATAATAATTAAATAAAATTTTTCAGTGTGCGTTTCGAATATGAACGAGATCTGGACGGCTCTTACCATAGTTTAGAACGAAAGCGAGATATATCACGAGCCTTACTAGAACATATTGATGCCCGCCATATCCCAGAATCTAATGCCAGCATTCAGTCATCAGATAATAACGATCTTTACCTTCATATGTCCCAAAGCTTGTACGACAGGCAACCTATGGTTAGCATAGTTTGAACGATAAAAGTTACAAATACATGAGAAGTGAACTCGATAGACATTCACCAAACATAATACTTTATCTGTGATCTCAGTTTCTAATGCAATAAATTATATCAAGATTCAATGCACTGTTTTCATTAAAACATTCATTGCTCACAGCAATCAAGTTTGTTCAACAACGATTCTTTCGAACGCTAAATGAAAGACTCAAAACTTTACAAAATTTCTGAAGAGCAAACGGTTCAGTTATTATTAAATATTATGAAAAAAGGTTATAGATACAGTTTTAGTCACCGATTTTTAGAGGATCAGTAGTAAAAGCGAATATTTGAAATGCATTCCGATTATCACATGCCATATATTTCAGCTTTAATAGTTAATATACATAAATACAGGGTCCTATGCCCATATTCCCTCTCCATCATCATCTAATGATGCAGTCATGAGATCTCCTGAAAGTATCCACATTTCAAGGATCTATTCTGTACTAACCTTGTCTTGGCACAGGCTGCGGTAACGTGGGTATACCAGTGAGAGCACCTGGTCCAACACTAGCTATTCCAGCAGCTGACTCGGGACGAACTACCAGAGCTCTCCTGTATAAGAAATTAGTAAAACGATATGAATTAGAATAAATAGAACCTTTCATTCTCTTGCTTTAGTTTTCTCATCAATGCTTCCTTCTGACGTCGTATCGTTTCGATTTCATCGCGGGGAGCACGAGCTTTTTCCAAAAGAGCTAAATGAGCATCCTTTTCACCTATAGCAGCAAGAATAGCTTCTTGTCTTAATAAGAACATTAACTAGATCAGAGAACATTAAAGTACTTCATGGCTAATAGCTGTTCAAGATGCTGCCTTCTTTCACCCTCCATTGAACGCAATAATTGTTCACGCTCATTGGCATTTCCTGTAGTCTTCTTCAACTCCGAAATTTCACGTCTGGCTTCCGAAAGCTGATAGAAACCATTCGAATAATTCATACTGTTCTATTTACCTGTGTGTTAACCTGATGTAGTAAATGTTTTTGTTGTGATAAATGAACTTCTCGCTCTGCAGTTATACTAACAGACTCTCGTAAAGCTTCTTCTAACTCTTCGACACTGTAACAGTACAACATTAATGAAGTGATTATGAACACAAACATACCGTTTTCTCAAAGCAGACTGTGGGCCATTCGCTGATACATTACTGAGCATAGAACGATCATTCTGAATTTAAATGTTTTATGTGAAACTGATTACTGAAATACCTTTGGCAGCGTGCCACATTCACTTCCTGAGCGGTTTTCAACAGCACCCTGCAGATAAACACTAAACTCATAAAAATAACCAAAAATACCTGAAGTTGCTTGCATTGTGTAGTGAGCTGATTATTATCCTTCTCCAACAGCTTCACCATTTTCAACAGCTTCTCAACCTCTCCTCTAGCTGACTCAACCTAAGAAACAATAAATCATTGTGAAAAGTATCAACTCACATCTTGTCGTAGCTCATCTGCCCCTTTGTCCACCATGGCATCTTGTAGTTTTTTATGTGCTGCTCCTAACTCCCTTGCCAAATCTCCAATCTGTACAGAAAGTTACATTCCAGAAAAGATCAACCTAGGATGGACAAAACCTTTTCATTCTGTGACTCTAACAGTACATCGCGGTCTTGAAGTTCTTTTTGTAAGTTATCCACATTACCTTGAAGTTGTCTTAGCTATAAATAGAGTATTTAAAAAGAATGTCATGTTTTTGAAACCTCTTTCTGATAAGTATCCTGCTGCTCTAATCTATCTTTCTCTGAACATCGACGTAGCTGATCTATATGCTCTTGAAGTTTCTGTTTTTCACGCTCTCCTAGATAACGGAATATATAGGAAAAAATGAAATGAATATTCCAACCTTGCTCAATCTTTTCTTTCATATCTTTTTCTCGTATCACATCAGGATGGCTCAATAAACGAATCTTGACAATAAACCTCTAATTTTAACCTATTAACACTATCGAATACCTTGGCCTTATCAAGCTCTTGCTCTTTTTCACGTAAGTTCGCTTCCAATGCTTCCACTCTACCGACTAATTGCGACATCTTCAGATCTGACTGCCGCATCTAAACATTTATTTGTTGACTTTAGCTATTTCATGTTCATCTGAACCTGTTCTGTTTTGTCCTGTGTATCGTTTTTGGAATTTACTAGATCTTTCTCTAACTTGTCGATCCGAGCTTCTCTCTGAGTCATTTGCTCATTCTTGAGTTCTAACTTTTGTCGAAGAGCTTCAACCTAGAACAGAAAAAAATGTTTTTATAGGAATGAACGTAGGTTCTTACATCTCCTTGAAGAAGTGCACACTGTTGTTCTCTATTAGTTAACTGTTCTTTCAAAAGTTGTAGATGCGACCGCATTTCCACACTCTTCAAATAATCATGTTATGAGATATGCTGATATTCAAATCGTCGCACCTGTTCTTCAGCAACTCGCATTCTTGATTGGGAAGTTGATAATTCCGTTTTTCTCTCACATAATTCTAATTCGGATCTTTCCAGTTTCATACGGAGAGTTACCTATGAAGAAGCCATCAGAACTGATAAACTGAAGGTTCATTACTAACCACATCATGATTTGAAATGCTTTTGTCTGTGAAATCACGTGGTTGTCCACTACGTTGACTGCGTAGTCTTGTTAATTCTTGTTCCACTTCATTGATACGATTTTGCTTTAATTATTGCATTATGAATGAAAATAAACTTCTCATACTTTCTCGTCAATGCGGCGCAAAGCATTCTCTAGTGCGAAACGACCGCTTGGATCCTTAAATGTCTATTCAGTGAAACGAAAAAAAGAATATGATTACGATTTGGCCCAAATTTTGATGCTCTTTAGCTCGTAACAAGCTTTGCAGTTGTAGGATATTGTCTTCTAACTCTCTTACTCTCACTTCTGAGAAATTATTTGCACTGCCTGAAAATATAATGAAATATTTCACAGCATAGTCATTCTCCTACTTGGTCCGTCATCCAGTATCGATGTCAATTGTCTTATTCGTTCATCTCTAGATGCTATTTCCATACGTAATTGAGCTGCAAGTATCATAGATATTATGGTCGCACATAAATTCAGAAACCATTTTCACCGGACGAATTCCCTATGTGTCCCGACTGAAGCAACTGTTCCAGTTTAGCAATTTTTGATGCTTCTTCACGACGTAACTGCCGTTCTTTCTATAAAAGAATGTGGAATACAACCGCTCTTTTAAACAAATTGATTGAAATATGGAATGAATGCCTTCAGTGAAATATTCAGTTAGACATGTGAAAACGAAACTACCTTCAATTCTGGACTCCAGAATGTTTTAATGCTGTTCATAGCCTGATTGAGTTTATCTATTGCAGTTTCATACTCTATTCTCAAATGATTATAATCTAATAAGCCATCACGATCCATTCCGTCTCCGTACATCATTCTATAAAAGCATGATGAAACACTTTATACTTGGATGAAATAGCTTATATTCATATTAACTCGAAAATATTCAATTAGATGTAAAATTTAGGCGCATAGTTAGGATAATTCGAGTATAAAAAGGAAATAGATTAGCTAAAAGAAATTAATTGAACTAAATATGAGAAAATGCTAATGATCAGAGATAAGATGGGGCGGTAGACGGTGAAAGTGATCAAGAATGTGAAAAAACCGGACGATGGTATGGAAAACACTGATAAACCATGCGTAAAAAGTATCAAAAGACTCACGCTGAAGGTATTCCGTTGTTCCAGAATCCAGGACTAGTTGAAGCTGGATTAGATAAAGGTCCTCGTCCTGCGCTTGGATATGGTTGAAACTGTGTGGTCACGCTAAGAGGCTCCTGAAAACGTTATCTTGAAGAGGGAAATGCATTAATGAATAACATTAATCAAATGATCGTTATTATATCCTAACTCTAGATCATGCATTCCACCTACAACATCCACAGAACGATGCTGTCTATAAATGAACAATATTTGAACTAAGTTTATAAATACAAAACCGCACCTTGTAAGCGTCCTCCGAGCTGACGATGGTGCGCTGATACTGAATGGTCCCCTTAAGCTTGGAGCTGGAGCTGGTGCATTATCCATAATTAACTTCAAAGGAATTCAGAATAGAAATGAGAAATTTGACAGAAAAAAAAGAAGAGCAAAACAGTTAAGTATGTAATTGACGGAAGGCGCACGGAAATACAGAGCGCGCATCGACTGCGTAACGCTGCGCGACCTGTTAACAACAAATTTCATTTACGAATAAATTGAGATAAGTTCATGCGGTCAATCGAAATTTGTGCAAGTCATTGGCACTTTTTGCCCAAAGTAAGACTTGTCAAGATGTTATCATTCATATTGTTTCTTTATGTTATCTCTCCGATGTGTTGAGATATGCGTGTGTAATACTAAACAATTGAATAACATGTTTTCTGCAGAAAAAAATTAATTAAGTAGTTTGTGTAATTAGAAAAGAGCATTTTGTAGGAGAGCAAGCTATATATGGAAGTAAAAGCGGTAACTAGAGTGTATTTTGAAGCAGACTGAGACAAGGAGAGTATATTGATTTGTCGATGAGACGAAAGGAGGCCTAAGGGAAAATGGGAATGTTGAAAACGATTCAAACGGCAATCGAAATATGCACAAGGGCTAGTTGTTGAAGTCAGAGGAGATGAGTTTATAATCAAAAAATAGAGAAAAAACTATTTCTGAAGTTTTTTTCAACAGCCAATTTGAGTGTTTATGGATTTTTACCTTGTAAACTTTAGTTCATTGCGAGTTAGTCTAATTAGTTTCGACATTTCAAATTGAATGTCTCTTCATGTTTCCTTATAATAATTATTGTTTGTGAGTGTTTTTACGGAACAGGAAGCAGGTGTTGAGTATTTCCTGATTTGCTTTGTTAAGTAAAGCAAGCAGGCTAATTAGTTATTTTTGGTTCAAATATGGCTATATGCGTATAAAGTTTAAAATTATATTTGTTCCTAACTAACTGATCCAACAGACAATTGAGCAATTTGGCATGAAATTTGCTCATTTGCTCAGAAGACAACGAAATTTCCATTTAGAAGTGAGTGTAGGAAACAAAATCTTTTATAAACACAACATGTAAGAAGAAACTCTTTCTGAAAAAGGTCAGATGATTATCAAAAAAATAAAGTCATTTTATGGAATTTCTTACTGAAATCTAGATAATTGCTGACATTGAAGTCATAAAATGTTTTTTCCCATTGAAATGGCATTTTCAATATGAAAACAATAGCTGTCATCTGCACCTTATATAGCTAATAGCATATGTGTATTTCTCTACTGAACTTTCCTCATTGCCTTTAGCTATCACAGCTATTTCAACACTTCTGCTTGCTTCGAGCAGATTTCTTCCTTGATATTTGTTTCCGTCCTTGATATTTTATGATAGTTGAGATATTTTTATTAGACAATAGGCTACAAGTCCTTAACCGAGATAAGTAATTATATTGTAAATAAGACCAAGGGCGGCAGAGATAAGAGGCTACGTTTGAATATATGAACGAGGTGTTAATCTCGAGATGTTCCATCAAGTATCATATTACTCGCATATACTCTCTTAACTATATACGATGTTTTAACATTTAGCTTATTCCTTCTGCTGCACATCTCAATTTACATGTTATATTTGGTGAAGAACATAAAAAAGAGAGAGAGTATATCTCCAAACTAATCCACAATCTGTCTTAAACAAATACAACATCGAACATATTTTTCTTTTTATCTTTTAGCCATTTTGAATCACCTGTTGCCCACTTATCCTCTTTCGGCTATCTCAAGACACCCTTCTAAAAACTAATTTCTATCAAATATATCTGTGACCAATAGAAACACTAATAAAACATATCAACTTCGAAAAAAATCAAAAGAAACAGCGTAACGCCCTGGTTACAGATATTTGGAAAGAGGGAAGGAGGGAAGTCAACCGATCTGGACACTGCACAATCTCGAAATGGAATGGAGTCAGATAAACTACCCAATCGAAAATCAATAAGTTGTTGTTTTTGAGAAATTGTAGAAGTAAAGTAATTGTTTATGTAATCTCATCGAATACTATCATGTTACTATAAAAACCATCGCCATCTGTATAAGTTTTCGGTTATTAATGCCCAAGTTTGGCCACCTGTCCTTCATGTGCATAAGGTGGGTATTACTAACTCATAAACATGATCCGACATGCTCAATTTGTATTTTGAGGACATGACCTAATGTTGAGTATGTTGAGGAATACATTTTCATTCCATCAGTAAATATGATTGATTGACTGTTACGAATGGCATCTACTATTCCCATAGTTGTCCCTATCGTACCACATAACCCAAAGTCATTTTTTCAGACAACTTTAATCAAAATTTCACCCCGTTGACCTGAACTGTCAGAAGTTGTATGAAATAACCATTGGTTATGTGACAAAACATATGTCCAATTCAATTATTTCTCAAATAATCAGAAAAAAAACGATGAACGAATGGAACAAAGAGGTTTAAGAAAACAATGGATCTTCTTTTCTTTTTCACTATACAGTAGTCTGATAAAAAAAAAGAATTTTGGACGGAAATCATTTGCACACTTGAACTAAGCGTATAAATGAATGATTAACTAAGTAGTTATTGAAAACAATTCAATGAAGGTCAATTATCTATTGGAATTCCATAGTATGAGTACCTTCTACTTGAACCTCATTTAGGATGAACAGATGACTATATCAACCTAACAATTCAAATTTTTCATTTTCTCATTAAAATGAAAAAAACTTATCTGACCTCTGTTAGGTAATTTCATTATTATTGTTGGGATTAAAGAGCAATTAATGCATTATTTATTAAGTAAAATCTGTAATTGCCATCTTCGACCTCTTGTAAATCCAGCTGGAAGTAAATTCTCATTTATCTTAATCCTTTCAATGATCATCTCAAGATGCAATTCAATCCTTACTATAGGCAAAGTCAATTGCTCAATTCTCATACGCACACCTTTTCAATTATTTTAAACGTTTTGCCCTTCTTATCTGATCTTGCTTAATTATATCTGAATAATGAGAACTTCTGTCCTCATTCATCAACTTCTTGAGCCTTTTAGTATCTTTTCTCAACCCTCACAATCTTTCACTAGATTGTAATACAAAGAACTTCTGATCATTTTTCACAGAACTTACGAAATCTACAAAATAAAAGATTTGAGCGTAGACAAAGGGCAAACCATAGGCATTTTTCCTTTTAAAACCTGCATGACATCTTCCGGTAATCCGACGGCAGACTGTTTTAGACCAGCGACTTTTCATGACAGGTCTTGAAGGGATTAGTAACGGAAACTCTCTATGATCATCGTTTTTTCGGCTTTTGTTTCTTCTATTGTGTCGAAACCGGGGAAGATGATTATTAAACTTTCAATTGATGTCGGAGACGGTCAGAAAGAACTCAGATAGATAATTATCGCTTTAAAAATATCCATAACATATAGGCAACAGTTTGTGCAACAAAAGCAATTTAGTTCTATCTGATATTACAGTATCTCTTGTGACTTCATTCTTCAATAACAGTATTATAAGAAAATACATCAAAGATTTGTAGAAAGTAACAAATGAATTGTTCTTGAAAAGCATATCCGTCTCAGAGAGGTTAAAAGGACAATTGATATTATAAGGACTTTTTGACACTACGTTTCGACAACAAAATCTTTGAAACTACGCTTTGAATGGGCCGACAATTAGCTTTGATGTATTGTATTCCAACTATGGATATCAGAGGATATTTTGACACCTCGTTCCGTCAAGGACCGTTTTCTTTGATCGTTTACTCTATCAGCTGGCACAAAAACCCTTTTAACTTCATATAACAAAAGATCTACATATACGGAGTAAAACAAAACAGATGAAAACGATAATTTGGTAGAAACACCAGACCTCCCAACAATTTTCAAACAATACAAGCGAGAGAAAAGTTGTCGCCGCCATTGCGAAAAACGAAGATTTTATCAGACGTTTGTGTCTCCATTAGAATGATATATTTGGAAATGGAATAAGGTCAACAAAAGGTAAAATTGGTTTAGTTTTCAATCAAAACTTTTTTCAAACCTCTAATTGCACTTGACAACGTTTGTTCTTCACAACTTGAGGAGTATATCAAGTCAAATGTTCCTCTTTCTTTCAGATTTCCTGAGAACATCTATATGGTCGTTGCTCTCATTTAAGTTTTTCGAAACTAAAACTTGGAGATTCAGTAATATTCAAAACATTGCCTTTTAAGAACTCTCAGCTGGTGCAGATTCTGTCAAGATTCCGTTCAGCTTAGTTCTGTCAATCTGCCATCTGTCATCGTTTTGTCCTTGATTGTGTACTTTGAAACTATGAAACCGTTTAACCTATGATACACTCGTTAGACCTCCAAACACGGAGAAACGAAAAAATTTTCAACATTCAATAACGTTGAGATGATCTAAAAAGACACTAAGAACATCAAAGAGCTGAAACAGCTTGATGTTAATGAGCTCTAATAAGATTCCGAAAAAAAACTGACCCACAGCACGACGTCTGCCTGTTGGGGAGAAGAAGCTCATGCTCATCATAGCAGAAAACCGTAAAACATGTAATAAAAAAGATTACCAACAAAGATAAAATACCGTTTCTTGTGATCAAAAACATCTGTGAGTACCAGATGCTAATAGACCTATCATTTGATCTTTTCCGTGCGGAAAAGGTTCTGATAAGAAACCTGCAGTTGCTTACCGCAATTATAATAAATGCTAGTTTGCATGCTTGTTGATCACCACTTCACAAATTTCTACAAAAGTCAGCCTGTGAACATTTTACGAGCCTATTGTTGTTCAGAAGTTTCGTCATAATATGTTGCCCGTCGACCTGAGGAAACCTGAGCTGTTCATTAACTTTATTTTTACGATTGTTACCAATTCAGTGATAAAGCTTGTCACACACCATAAATTAAATAAACTGTTTATCATTATTCAAATTATTTATTATGCTCAACCAAACCTTTCATTTTCACTTCTTCCCGCTAGTGGGCGGAGCTTAATACGATGGGGGGGGGAGACAAGGAGAAAAGGCTAGGTGTTGGAGGAGGGAATTCATCTTCCAACCCACAGTAATAGTACCGCCCACACTCGACTATCAATCTGACTGCTATTTCGGCTTAGAATCAGCATCAGCAGCCAACAACATGTCGAGTTTAGCCGTTGTCCTTCAAGGCCCAAAGCCCAAAAATGGACGTTGTGTTTTCGAGTCTTTTAAAGAAGCTAACCGAAAGAACTTCTGGAATAGGTTTGTATTCATATCTGCTTTAGTGTTTCACATGTTTGTTTTCAGAGAGTTAGTTTCTGCTATGGAATCCATTATATACATGGGTTTCTTGAGACCTTCTACCTTGTTCATTTCTGGAAGTGAATCATCCATACAGACTATCAAATCAGAATATGCTCGCCGTATATTAAAAGCTCCAACGTCTTACAAAATTCTTTCTCTCGGTGAGTTTTTGTTTCTTTTTATTCTTGTTCCTGTATTATTTTCCTTTGAAAAAGCGCAAACCGTGTTAATCCCTACCGAAGTCCTGCGCTAATCTTGGCCTTAGGCAGCATAGGCCTTTGTGCAAGACCCGCCAAGTTTTTGCCAACATTCTTTTCTTCAACTAAAATTTTTGGCTAAGACCTCTCATGATTATGTGAATCACATTCAAACTCCTATTTGTCTAGAGTACCGTAGTGTTAATGTTTAAAAAGCTCATTCTCATTCAAAAAAGTGTCACTCATTCCACACCTCATCAAAAGTCTCATTAAAATTGGCCCATTAAAAACTTTGTGTAGATTTCACACTTGAACAAAAAAGAATATCTGCCATACTTTTGTTTAATCGCTCGGTTAGCCTTGTATTATTTGCCATATTGAGAAGACCATTCAAATGGGAATTCTTTTTCTTGATTCTCTCATGATCCTATGGTGATAATTACCTCCATATGTGAAGATTGCGAACAGAAGCCATGCAAAAGACAACTTGCAAGGTGGTCCTCATGCAATCTGACTCCAGAAGCAACCTTATGCGGGTAAGGCAGGTGCTCAACAGATGTGACTTTTTGCTCATGCACTCTGTTGTCATTCAATTGAAATCATTCAAGGGTGTCTAAAAGGAGCAGAAGTCGAGAGACAACTTGTCCGATTAATTAACTTACTAATCCTTCTCACCTCATCAAAGTTAATAATTGATATATAATATTCATAATGTTCAGGTGCTATGGGAGCAATCGAAGAAGTTGAACAGATGAATTTTGTACCACTTGGAGATATTATCTGCGACACTATTAGCCAACTGAACACTCTTGGACAAATAGCCAATCTTGTGAACATCAAGGATTACATTCTGGAGAACTACAGTTACATTTCCCCGAACAACTTGCAAACGATGAAACAAACCATCCAAACCCTTATAAGCACCGGATTAATATATCGTATAGGAGAAAACTTCTTCGTTAGTATCCCAACACAATCGGTTCAGCCAGTTGTTAAGGTACTGTGTTCAAATCGAACCTCTTCATAACTGTTTAATATTTGTAGACTACCGTTGAATGCCAAACAGGAATGTCTATCATGGAAGAAGAGAAAAAGGAAAAGAAAGGAATCTTAGCGCGTATTTTTGCTCGTCGTTCAACTGTCAATGCTCAAAATGGAGCCTCCCCACCTCAAGTTCCTACAATAGCAACACCCGTTGTTCCTGTTTTCTTCTCCAGTTCAGATGAATGGATGAAAGCTGAAAAAATATCTCAAGGAAGCAATGCTAATAGGTTTGTACTTCATCACCCTTCTTAACACTCGATCAAAATCATACTATGACATGTGCATGTGGTCACATATTGTCAATAAATAGTCAACAAGCCGTTGGCTATAACATCTATTGATACTGTCTCGATAGGACGCCCATCGTTCTCTATTGTATTGAGCAAAATTACAATTAATGAGGTGTCACAAAAATGTCTTTTGGCGCAGTTGTTCATCCATTTAACTGGAACAGCTCTTGGCAAACTAAAACAACATACGCTTGACCTCACTTTTCCCAATCTTCAAAACTGAAAACTTTGCGAGAGCAAATAAATAGATGTACGACCTTATAACATATCATCATTTACCTCTAATCCCATCTACAACCTGTTGTTCAACTTGATATGATCGTAACGACTTGCGCAAGCCCATATACAATCAATTAGGCTGAAAATTATATGAATTTTAATTGTTCACCTATTATAGATATTATACCTTCGACAAGGATGATGTAGTTGTCGCCATAAAACAACAAAAGACTAATAATGGAAGAAGACGTAGACGCCAACATAGAGTTTACCTCAGCTCTAGTTCTGAATGTCTTAACTATGGACCCATTGATCCTCCTGAGTGCTTACCTGGAAACGTTGAAGGTAAATTTCAAATTTCATTCAAATACACATTTTTCACCTGTGTTCAGTTACAATACTCATATTACATTTTTCAGTAGTAGATGATCTTCGCCGCCGTCGTAGACGTACAGCTGATCGCAAGACAATAGCCCGGACAAGTACTCCTGTACCAGTTGGATCAGATTCTGCCTATAGTCCATCGCCCGTAACTGATTCCAATGAAGAAGCTGGTTCCTGGAGCGAAAAAGATGTTGACCATTTCCCCCGCGAACACACTTACGTTAATCTTCATGAAGATGAATCAACTCAGTTCGAGGAGATTACTCAGCCTCATATAGTTCCCCAAGCTATTCTCATTTCAAATGTCTAAGCAACTAATTAAGACAAGTAACCAGAGCTTATCAGAGATTGAAATATTTTTTTTTTTATTTTTCCACCTGTTCAAATATTTTCTGTAAATTCATAGAGTTTAGTCATTTTCCGTTTAGATGGACGTGTGCCAATATATTCGCAATGGTCCTCAACTATTTGCAATCAATATGTGCCAGCCGTATTTACCCCGTTGCATTGAAAATCTCCTTTCGAACTTGTCACAAATTATTTACAGTTCATATTTATCAACCTTTATTTATTATGTTTTTTTGTACATTTTATGGAATAAAAGATAACCGAACTATTAAAGCTCTATTGTAAAGCATGTGACTGTAATAATGGAAATGAACTAACATTCGAAACTATTCATATCGCAATTGTGTAAGCCTGGATTATTGTTTGCTTTATCCTTCTGCTCATTAATTCAAATTGTTCGCAGTTAACAGACTGCCAGGTGCTTGTGTAATTCCCAATAGGTTCCGGTGAATAACACGCTTGTAATCTAATTGGTACACGCATTTGAACACCATGTTTGGTCTAATTAATGCTTTTGTTTAATTAAATGAAGACAGGCTACAGAAAAGGTGAACGTTAAATTGAGCAGAAATACCTACTTTAATCCACATATTATCAAATCTAAGTCATTGATAAGACAAACCATCAATGTTTCTTACAAAATCGTGTGGATTTACTCGGTTACACTCTAAATTCAATACTTTACTTACTACTTTACTTTTATATTTTCAGACATGGAACATTCATTTGAACAAACTGTTGTTATTGTTTCATATTGAATGTCAACCTAGCATTCTCTCGCTTCATCAATACTTCTTTTATCATCATTTCCATCTTTTCTCTCTCAACGAGTGTGTAATATGTGCGTTTTCTTTGCTTTCATTCACGTGGTTTTCATTGTGTCGTGATTGTTTTCCTTCTTTAGACTATCTGCTCTATTGCTTGTCGTCATTCTTCGAACCCAGTTTCTATTTCCCCAAATTGATTACTTTTCAAACTGTTTGTTGAAAGCTCTTTCAAAATCCAATTTGCAGGTGATGAAAAATACGGAAGGTTTACCTGACCGTTATAGTTGGTTTGAAGAACAGATTGCGGGTCATCATCCATCTGTGATCAAGAATGGAAAAAGAGAAATAGGTAAGGCAACAAAACATCCGGAAAACTGAGCATGATTGATTGATATCATATCTATTTTGTTTACACCCACCTGTTTATACTCGGGCACTCCCAGTTTATATTTGCTCAGGTGGTTCATGTTTTTATATTATAGGAATTCTAAAAAAAAGAAATTGTAATAAGTTGCGGAAACCAAAGCAAGATGCTAAACGAGGAGATTGCGAGGTACATGCTTTCATAATTTCCTTTGTTACTTTTCAAAGTTCTCTAATTTCCGTCACGAAAAACATTATGTGTCGGAATGAGAAGATGACAAGTTGCGTAACTAACTTGGCTACTTCAATTCAATATGTTCATGTCAAGATCGCATATCCTGTATGTAACCTCAGACGATCTTCACTGTGATTCGCCCAGAAGTTGCGTAATCAGTAATTATTCCCCTTATGTGATCATCTCTAAAAGTGGAAGAGATGGATATCAAATTGTACTTAACTATTCAACATCTTATATTTCGGAAACACAGTTAATCCTATAAGTATTCTGTTTATAAGATTGAACCAGGGTATTAATTTGCTCTATCTATCTCAATTGAGCGTAGTCAATCTGTATTCTATTAGAAACCATTCGGAATTACATTTCTTCAGAAAACGGTTGAACTCAAAGATAAAAATATTCATACCATATTCAAACCTAATTTAATGTAGAGGCAATGAGAAGGGAGTGAAGAGTATATTTTTTGATTGTTTGTATATTACGATCCGGATTTCCGATTAGATGAACTCTAGTGTGAGCTGTCTCTTGACGGATTTGGTTGCGTAACGGTAAAGAAATGGCGTCTCAACTTATCTAACTTATTTAGGAGAACTTGTACCAACAGTTAGACAATCTATGCCGACATGTAGTCAACACCCCTAGCGAACATCAGTGAGTATCAGTTTGAATAAGGAAAAAAATGATACTTTTTTAAGTTCTAAGGATGATCATTTTCTATTGCAATTGGCTAATACTTCACCCAGATTTTATGGCACTGAAAAGCTGGTTGTTGACGATGAAGGTCGAGTTAACTTTGACTTTACAAAAAACTAACCCAAGGACAGCAAACACAATAAATTCCCAAAGAGAGACCTCAGCTCCTGCCAGCTGCTCTACAGTCCGTTGTTTTTATCCAAAAAGACGGATTTTGAATCAATTATATCTTATCTTTCCTCTAATTACTCCCTAAAAAAACTGCATGGCGAAAATTTCAAATCTTCCATATGTTAATATTTTTTTCAGAACATGAGTTCATAATACTGGAAGATGTAACCTGTACCTTTAAGCAGCCTGCTATTTTGGATATTAAAATGGGGAAAGTAACTTATGATCCTTTGGCAAATGAGGAGAAGAGGCGGAAAGAAAGTGCGAAGTATTTACCTCAAACCAAATTAGGATTCCGACTACTTGGATACCGCGTAAGTGTCGATTAGTTAGTTTAGAGAGTATATAAGGATGTTTTCGAATATTTCTGTTCCCGAGGCAATAGTCTTTATTTCAAACATCTGTTTCCACAGGTGTTGCAGTCTTCATCCCGACCTATGATGTTCAAGGAAAATTTGAAAATGTATAGTAGAACGTTCTCGTATGGCAACAGTTGCAACAGCGTATGCCTAATTAGGGGTTAGATTCCATAGGTTCGAAAGCTAATCTGCTCATTTAATGGAAAAGACGGGAGACCGACAATGATCTTTCTTGTGAGATAAGATCGGTTAGGCTTAGGGAACGGTTGGGTGTCATCTTTTGGAATTGTTGAACAAGACGACGAGAAATATTGTTCTCACTATGTCTTAAAGATGAAGAGATTAAAATGGCACTAACAAAGAAGACAATGATTTTTACATTAAGGTACATGTGAACGATCAAGTTCAAGTACGAGACAAAGAATGGGGAAAAGGATTTGATGAAAACGTATACGAAGGTAAAAATTTCGAATTAGACATTCTGATGTTTACGGCCTTTCAGGTCTGACTGAATTCTTCAAAGCTGGTCGTGAAGACAACCAAGAGATTCTAATGAGTTTCCTTGAGCAGTTACAAAAAATTCAGAAGTGGTTCGAACAACAGAGAGTTTTTCACTTTTATGCCTCTTCTCTACTATTTCTCTATGAGACAGACATTACTCTTCCCCACAATATAAGGATTTATATGATCGGTTTGTTGAGACGAATAGCTTTAATTTCTAATGGTTTAAGATTTCTCCCACGTGTTCCCAGCCAATGGTGAATTGGACGAAAACTATCTATTTGGTCTCAACAATTTGATACGGTTTGTGAAAGAAATAATCTCGCGAGAATTCAAATAGAGTTCTATCTTGTATTCCTTATGTACTAATCGTTATTCCTGATTGTTTATTATTCAGACATGAAAGATTAAAAGAATGTTGATTTACAGCGGATATGTTAACCCATTGAGTAAATAAATGTATTGTCTGTTAAGGTTATTCAAGGGCTTAATACATGACCTAAACAAAAAAGGAATGGTGTCACAACTACCGGTTGCACGCAATCTTAATAAAACTGAGGATCATCATAAAACATAACTGAGGTTGCTGAGTTCATTCGTGCATTCAATTGGGACCGAAGTAATGGTTAGTTACTTCCATAGAGTTGAGATCAAGAATTGATACCATATGAGTTCTTGAGAAACGGGGGAGAGAAATGCATAAAGTTTTTCCGCTTTTGCATTCGAACATTTCCGAAGAGAATTCAGGTTGATTTCCACAAATCATAACATGTGGGATTCCATCCATAATGAAAGGATCTCTGTGAACGAAGTTGAGTAACTTATTCAAGATAACTACCTTACCTTTTCTCAAAAGGGAAGGCATCAACTGTATCAGGAGCTGTAGGTGCTAAATGCTGCCAACGTAATATATACTTCATGAGATCAGAACTTTTTTGTACGGTGCTCAACCGTCTTAGATCCGTCAGATTTAGTCCTAGAATAGAACAATTATCTTTATTGAGGCCTTAGCGCAATATTTCTCGGAAAACTGTGCAGAGCCTTGGCCTCATCATATGCATGTCAGAGCCGCATCCTTGACTCATCAAAAAGCGAGAGCCGCATAAGTCGCGCAATTCTAATTATTGTTTATGGGCAGGGGATGTTTTTAATTATGCCCATCAAATTGTCGGAAGAAATGATGAATGGGGTGAAAGAACGGATACCCACCTGATGTAACCAGAAACTCATCATCACCGAGCTTGAAAGAATACGGATTAGTTACAAGACCCAGAGCAGCTCCACTAGCGCTTGATAAAGGTAAGCATGCTTTATGAATAGGCTAGAAGTGAATAAATCAGTCATGCTAAAAAAGATATAAACCTGTTGAGGCCAAAGCTGCGTTGTGGGATCAGTTTGTCCAGGTAAAAGATCGATGGATAGCTTCGACTGAAATCATTCAACTTTCATCAAATGCAACATTTTGTTGCGAGCAGTAGGGTGATTTGTCAACCGTCTGTCTGTCGTCTTACCGTGAACTTCGCCAACAAATTATCCAAAGACGAGATGCCATTTATATTCGCAGAACAGTCTTGTCTGCTTAACCTCAAATAGGCAACAGCTGATGAAAATTCTTTCGCCTGAAATTTTAAAAGATGAACAATATTTATTTTGATGCAATTTGTAAAAGGAAAGTGTTGAATTAGATCAAAGGTGCCGAGATGGGTTTTAACAACAGTCACACTATAAGATAAACATTCGAATGGCGTAACCACCTGTTACTTATTGTTGAGGTCGAGCCGCAAAGCACGAACTCATTTGCACATCAATTATGCCGATCATGTTCAATTAATTGTAAATATGAGGTGTAAATTAAGATAAACAAGGTCCATAAAATAACAGATGAGGACAATAAATTTGTGAAAAAGCTTTGAGGGCAAAAATACCTGTGCAGCAGCAAGACTATCTCCAACCACTAATACTCTTTCTATAGAAGATACAAGCTGAGCATCTGTTTTGTCTCCTGTGATTTCATTATTCAACCAACGAGCGAACATCATCAACGAGAGACACGTATCTCTCTAAAGCACAAAAGTCATTTAAGCACAAAGTGACAAATCTGGGATAAATACATCTTTCTCCGCGGAGCCACACAATTCAAGTCCGGATATCAAAGCGACTCTCCCCTTAGGTCCGGAAGACACGGTTTTTTGCTGGGGGATCGAAGGAAAAATGATTTTTTCAACCTCGAACAAACTGTCTTTCACCTGAACAATATATAGATAAAAGTGGAACTAAAAGGGTAATATACCTGTGAACCATATAGACCAACAGTACAGCCAGTCGCAACTTCATCCATACTTATATTTCCGCCTAATGTTACAATTTGTTTCTCATCTTCGAATTCAAGATAATCTTTGTTGGTTATCAGGCTCGGAGTTCCTTCCTCTTCTCCATCAGCATCTTCAGGCAGCATTTTCTCATCTTCAGCGAGTTCCTATAGAAGCTGGGTAAAATGTCTACATATAAGAAGAGTCCAATACTTTCAAAATACTAGGCCTCAAGCTGATTTTTTTCTGTATCGTACCAATCACAAAAGCTTTTTCCTTTAACTTCAATCCTTCAAGTTGCTTATAATATGTGTCCAGGCCTAAACATATGTCAAAACTAGAGGACATTGGGGAAACCAGCACCCTCTGCTTTTGCTGCTTCCAAAATTCTTGGTTTCAAAATGTCAAGGCGCGAAGCATATACATGGAAGTATTGTCTTTGAAAAGCGTTGGTTATATCGTTCTTGCTCAACGTGAACCGTTCGGAAGTATTCGTATAAGGCAACTCAATTCTCTCGATTTGAGTCATTCTGGAAAACTTCATGAAAACGCAAAAGACTAACATTGAAAAGGATGAGTTGCTGAGCAGAAACAGCATACACAGTAGAATTAATTAAAAAATAAATTATTTCATTAAACGTTAAAGAAACCATGAAAACAATTGACCAGCGATGATAATATAAGGAATACTCTCCACCAAAACTTGCAATAGTAGTTCCCTAAGAAAATGGGCTATTTAAAAAAACTAACGACATTATAGAGCATCACAGTAATCAAAAATTAATGCACACTGACTTTTGAATTCCACCCAAAGAATTCCAAGTTTTTGCGGCTAGGATTTGAATGATTTAGTTATTTTTTATAAAACTCTAACACAATACGAATTCAAACAGTAAGGAGAATATAAAATCTGATTAGTTGCTCTTTTTGAACAATAAATATGTTGGAATAAATTAATTAAGACAATACATTACGAATTTCTCTATGAACATGACAGAGGAAGTCGACGTAGGACATAGAGTTTGGACAAGACTTATCCTGAAAAGGAGATATGAAGGAAAAAAAATCATTTTCCGAATTATACCTCGACCAAGAACTTCTTCATCCATGGTTCGAGTGCATCTTTTTCTTTGATGATGAACAGCTTTCTTGTTCTTGATCCTTCTTGCTCGAGAAGCTGAATTGCTGTTCGTAAGGCTCGAGACTTAGCATTGTCCTTCTCAGGAATGATGTGCTATAAAAACATAACAATTATAGTATTAAGACAAAAGTAATACAGTTTCAGTATCCATGTGCGAAACAGAATTAGCTTCGAAACAATCAACTATCCATGATTCACTAGTACCCAAGCCAATCCACAAGAACATCGCAATTCCATTATCAATGAGGAAAGCCTTTAAAACGATATATAGCAGTGTTCTCGACTTTATCCGACCTTGTCGTTGGGTAGATACTCCGTGCTAGCTCGTACAGCAGGAGGAAGAATGAAAGGCTCGGAAGGATCATTAATTTCAAGATTCGATACGGGAATAACTCTAAATTTTGTTATTGTTTCATGTTCTTTGGTGAGTAAGCAGGTAATGATATCTTAGCTGGTTCCTGATATTGAATGATAATGAACTATTACTCACTTAGGGTACAGGATTCTCATAGCATCTGGGATTCCGATAGCTCTTATCAACTCTATCATCCACGCCTTATCATCGACAGTTAGCTCAGCTCCTGTGGGAAAATTGGTTTTAAGTTTCGATCGTATCGGGTGAGAATTACCTCCACTAACAGAATCATTCTTTAAAATAGAGTTAACAATTAATGGCAGCAATTTCAATGATTCAGGAAGAATAAGTTGCCCCATCGGAGCGTTTTCGCTACATTTCTCGCTGAAAGTTTTACATAATTTCGAGAAGGAATCAGCGACTAACCGATAAGTAGCCAAAATGTGCGCAGATCTAGAAGACAAGACTTCCTTGACTTCCTTAATTCCTTTCTCTCTGTTTATTTGTACAGCTAAAATGTTCATGATTTATGAAAAAATCGAAAGATATTGAACTCACCTTGCTTGAACAAATAGGTAGCAAGAGTGTTGTGATCAGCTAATCTAAACAGTTGATTGTAATCGCTAGAGACGGGAAGACAAATATTAAGAATTCGAAGACGCCTTTGACCGCTGCATGATGTGTATAAAACAGCACATTGGATGATTGCAGAATTCTCATTGAGCTTATCATCATGTTTGATTTCAGCAAAGAACGTCTGAAACAAACATTATTCATATTAATCTCATTGATAACAGTGCCTTGTCCTCATCTAAAGAGGCAATTTCTAAATCTGTTGAATTTTCCATGTAGAAGGAGCCCAAGAATGAAACTGGTCGTATTCCTTAACAGAAGATCAATAATATTACCGAGAATCAGACTCTTACCAGCACTCGTTCTAATGCGTACCATACAATCGAACCCAATCTTTCTTGATATACCATGGTGTAGATCGCTAAGGAATCGCTTAGCATCCTTTTCAGGCTGGAATAAAATACAAATTATACTTTTTAATGAGTAAAGCCTCACAGTAAAATACATATATTTGTACAAACTGCCACCAGTAACAGCAGTTAGTTGACCGACTGTAGCGATATCGATGAATGCATTTGGGAATACGAACAAGTCAATAGTAACACCAGCCTAAATGGATGGATTAAAAACATCGAGTTCAAAGATGATTGTATACCTTAACACATTGTTCGGCAGCTTTGGTATAAAATTCGGCCTGGGGTGAAAGTGCAGTCTAGATACCGTGGTTTTGAACACGAAAATGCATGATCGAACCTTTTCTTTATCTGTTCCTAGCAAAGGTCTTTCATTTTTAGTTTTGAGCTTGCCAGGAGCTTCGAATGTAGGCAAACCGCTAGTAAAAATGAAAAGCTTTCCAGCACGATCAGCACACTTCAGAACGGTAATTCAAAATTTGGTGGAGAAATAATGAATACCTTGAGAGCATCCAAACCAGCATGAACCACAGGGCCAAGAATTGTTTCAGTACCTTTGCTTGTCGAGAACAGCTTGGGGATTTCAGCCAGAACTGCCCTAATACCAACTATTGCTTGATTGTATGGGAGAAGCAGCCCATCAACAATTGGAACAAACATTTCGCTAACATCCCCTTAATGATGAGTTGACCGGCTTTCTTACAAATCAGCACTTACCGACTACTAACATGCTTGGTTTAGAAGATGATAAATCATAAAAATGAACAGCTTGATCAAAAGTTGCTAAACCAACTCGTATGCTTGACTCTGGTTGATTGAGCTCTCTATAAAAACTTAGATCAAAAAGCAAGAAACAAAATGAAAAAACCTGGGAAGATCTTTCAAAAACCTCTCTAGGTTTGAGCACAAAACATGAACCATCCCATTTTTAATAGAATTGTACGAAACATCAATCATGAATATGAAAGCAGGTTCTTTGGGAGGTAAGCCATTCTAAAAAGAACTTATGTAACGATGAAAGGTAACAATCAACCTACTTTGCAATATTGTTTCGTAGCGACGAATTCGTAACCGCCCAGGAAAAGTTCTGGTCTGTGCTCGATATCAGTTCGACGCCCAGTGTGATCCAAATGAGCAAAATAAACATCTTCGACTATAATATTGGCATTGGAATGATCCAATAATGAAATAACTGAAACCTCCAGTCGTAGCAGTACAGAAAGGACAACGGAAACGCCTTCCTCCATCTTGAAACTCCATAAATGGACACATATATGCCTTACATCGTTGACAACGAACGGGTCCTCCAGGACCCAAGTCAATAACTGGTGGAGAAACCTAAAAACGTATACATTCGAAAACGGAGTGAGCAACCCACTGACCTCGTTTTGATGAAGTTTAGCAAAAGGTGAACACGCAACAGCAAATGGTATCTGAGAAGTTTTCAGAACATCATTTGAGGATGGTGCAACATATATGGTTGATCGCATGTAGCGAGGGTTACAGTTTCCTGTGAATAAATTAGAAATGTGCTCACACATGATTCTCACCTTGATCTTGAGCAAAGAAGTTAGTTGAAACAAAGGGAGGAAGCTCAGCTTGTGGATATCCAGTTGGGAAAACACCACTTCTTGTGGCTGCGTCATCTTCCATAACAGCAACCTGAGCAGAAAAATTCGTAAAACTCCGCACTGAGAATGCAAACCGCGCTGGGCATCATATTTGGATCCAAGCGTTGTCTTTGAGGAGCACCGGGATAACCCCCAGGCATCCCAGACCCCGGCATACCTGGAGGCCCTGCAGCAAAGCCTGGTTGATTTGGGGGCATTCCTCCTAATAGAATCGGATCAGATCAAGAAAAATGTTTAAAACTCGTACCGGGGAGGTTAGGCATTCCAGGTTGTCCGGGAGGTCCCGGTTGGGGAAAGCCTTGAGGACCAGCATTTGATCCAGGGAATGAAGGCATAGCAGGAAATCCGCCAGGAGTTCCATTAGGTAGACCTGCCATCTGTGGAAAAGACTAGGAAGAATTTAAAAAAAACGTGGGCTTGAAGTACCGGGTTTTGAGGTCCAGGATATTGGCCTGCTGCTTGAGATTGTGCTGCATTTTGATATACAGGAGGTCCTGGTGGAACTGGATTCTGTGGGTATCCTGGTTGCTGAGAAGGGACGTTTGTTTGTCCCGCAGGTTGAAACGGTTGTTGGTAACCTTGCGGTTGTGGCGGCTGTCCTGGCTGAGGGAATCCCTGAGGATGAGGAGGCTGTCCAGGAGGAGCAAAAGCTTGAGGTTGAGCTTGTCCGGACTGTGGGAATCCTTGTGGTTGCGAAAATTGGCCTGGTTGAGAAAACCCTTGCGGTTGAGGAGGTTGTCCCGGTTGAGGAGGTTGTCCCGGCTGAGGAGGTTGTCCCGGTTGGGGAAGTTGTCCCGGTTGAGAAAGTTGTCCCGGTTGAGGAGGTTGTCCTGGTTGAGGGAATCTCTGAGCTTGCAAAGGCGGTCCAGGTTGAGGAAACCCTTGAGGTTGTCCAACTTGAGAGAAGCCTTGTGGCTGAGGGTTTTGTGGGAAAACTGGAGCAGGAGTACCTGCAGCTCTCATTGGGTTAGCGTACCCAGCCTGATGACCGGGCAGAGGGCCAGGTTGTGCGTGTTGCCCATGAGGGAGAGGAGTTCCTTTTAAATCATTTTGAAACTCATTCAAGATTGGAATCCTTACCTGGTTTGGACTGATTTAAGTGATTAGGAAACGGTTGTTGAGTTATAGTGTTATGATTCATTTGTGGTTGCCCTACAGTATATACACAGAAAGTAAGAGTATGCAAGTTAAAAAGTTGAACCTGATGCTAGAGCAGGCTTAGCAATACCAGCCTGTTGAGGAATGTGTTGACTAGGTGGTTGAGCTGGATGGGAAAAACTATCAGCATTCTGTTTTATGAAAGGGATATACACGTTTCTCTTTCAAAATCGTACCTGTTGGTAAGAATGTCCATATGATGGCTGCTGTGGAAAGTTCGGTGCATACGACATGGTGTTGCACCGACTTTTCTATTGGGAACCTGCGATGAAAACCAAAACTATTATTGCATACTCAGCTAATCGATAGATATATGCAAATATTAACTAAATTAATGGAAGGAAAAGCATTTAATTACTGTATTACAATATTAGAAGTTGGATATTAACCAAGTTCCATGTCACTGAGTGGAAAACCGTCGTGGAACCTGATACTCATGTTAATCGTGGCGGGACCAGTAAAACAAACAGTTGGCAAATTTTATTAATATATGAAGCACTATACGAATAAACTCATTATCGCTAGTGTGCGTCTGAATAGTTCAAAAAAAAGAATAAAATGAAAAAAATTTAAAAATCGAGCATTTCAACTGGTTTTATACCTTTGTGATCATCTGTGTTTGTAGTTGCGATGCAGCAACAGAATATATAACTAAAAGAGCCGTAAGTAACAGAACAAACAAAATTTATACATTGATTTGATAGCCATTTTGATATAATACTCAACTTCGAAACATTCGAAATCTCCGTGTTTCATACTCAGATGTAGTCTTTGCTTAAAAGAAAACTGGAGTTCATAAAATAGAAGAGTTATCGTCATTGCGAAGACGATGAAAATCACTTTAACCCAACGAAAATACTTCAGCTTTTGAAAACAAATTCAAAAAAGTTTTAGTTTCTTTCAAATATTTATTTTTATGCTCTTTCGCTGAAGATAATGGATTTCTTATATATTGAGTATTCTTTCAACATGTGACGTCAAGACAATTTTCATTGCACCAATTATAGGAAAGTTAAACTTGTATTTCAATCAGAAAAATCCTTCGATATACGGAAGTGTATGTGTGGAGATAAAGTTCAGGAGGGCAGAGTTCATTATGTTTAGACCATTTATAGTCAATGCTAACGCAATTGCTTCCGCAATCATCCGAAGTTGACCAGTTAACTTCTGAGCTTTTCTCATAAGTGTGGAACTAAACGAACTCTCCGATATTTCTTTTTCTTCGAATGAATAAAGATCGGAGAAAAAGCATTAAAAATCATAGTTATATGTTTATTTGTTGAGTAAGTTACTCTTCCCTCTTCTTCGTCGTCCGCTTCTGTGAAAAAAATCTCGAAAACTATGAACTTTATCAAGAAAACAATTTTTTTAAAAAAAATTTTTCACTAAAATGTATTCATGCGAGCGTTCGTTGTTCTTAAAATTCGTCGTGAATGGCTATTTCCGCCCGATGTCAACGTTTTCCTTACTTGAAGAAGAAGCAATAGAAAAAGCCTTCAGTCTCGAGTTGTCTGAAGTTTTGCTCTGATTATTCTTATCTTTTTTTTTTACTTTCTCTCGTTCGCGTGAAGTGTATTTCGTTTAAAGTAGAACCAAGTCCCTTCCTATTTCCTATGATTCTGATGTAATTGAGCAAGATTTGAGAAGTTTCCAATAGACACACACTCTCGAAAAACTCTCCTTTGTTCCTTGCTCGGAATGAAAAGAAACGTTTTTTAATATACGATTGAACCTTCAATAAGAATGTTTTCTTTGAAAATGAAGAAGCTTCATAGTTTCTTCTGAAGACATTTGGTAGGAAAAAGACAGCAGTTGAGAGTATTTTAAACAAAAGAAGGAAACTGTTGTGTGCAAACTTTAGAAAACTTTCTTTTCTTCTCTACTAATTTATAAATGAGACATTGATTTTCAATAATGAAGCTTAATGGCTTCTCTTTCCTAAACTGTCTTCTCCTCTATTACCTCTCTTCATCAAACTTCGTTACTCATTATTTCTTTTCTCCTGGAAGAAAAGAAACTCAAAACTCCTTCTCTTTCTACTCTCCGAGTTCAAAAAAAGCTGCTCGGTTTTTGTTCTCCAAACTTCTATGAGCAATAGGAGCCCCAATAAGCAATTGTTTTTTGTTATCACACTTCCACAAATGAGAGGATGGTTTGAAGAAATCAAATCGAGCAAATTTTCTTCCGAAAGCTTCAGGCAATTGCAATTTTACTCAACTTATCTTGTTATTTTTCCTGTTCGCGAATCTATTTTGTACTTCATCACTCAATATAAAGATTTTCCTTTTTTTACTCTTATAGGCAAAACAAACATTCATTTATTTTGTTTACCTATATTTCAGGAAGAGTCTTACTAAATTTTACATTTCATATCAGAAGTATGACCTTATAGATCACCTAACTGCCCTCCCTTTCCCACGCCATGCTTTGTCCTCCCAGCCATTCGTTTATGTTTTCATTCGAACCAAAACAATTTCTGTTCTTTTTAAAATTTTATACTAAAAAATTTTGATCTACAATGCATTTTAGCATTTGAATGAAAAAAAATTCAGAATCATCCAATTCAGAATTAGAAATTCTATTTTCCAACGAAATACTCCATAATTAGCACCTTTAGTGGAAATTCTTGAAGTTTATTGTTCGTTGAACTTTAATTCTGATTCATGAAAGCCTTACTTAAATATTTTTTCATTTTTCTTTCAGTTCTGTCGTAATAATGGTGTTCATAAATTCATATGTAAGTATTCTAATGCTTTTGGTTGATTTTATCATCATAGCTGGTAATATTGTTGTTTTATACATCCTTATTAGTCAAAAATCCCTTCATACACCAACAAATTCTCTTATTCTTTCCTTAACTGTAAGTGATTTGCTTCTTGGAATACTTATCATTCCTTTCGCAATCGTCCAGGTAATCTTACTTCTTTATTCAGTAACAACTACCTTTCTTTGCAGGAAGACCGCCATGAATGGCTGTTTGGTGAATTAGGCTGTCGATTTTGGTTATCGTTAGATGTGTGGTTATCTACTTCTTCTATATACAACCTACTTGCCATTAGTTTTGACAGATATATGGCTGTAAAGCAACCTATAAGATATCCAAGCATATCATCAACGAGGTTAGTTTACTGCTCTTATCTCAAAGCCAGCACTTAAAACATAAACTGAGAAGAGCATTCGTTTATACTAAGTCAGAAGAATCATTAGTAATTTGTTCCAAAACATTGTGATCGGAACGCTAAGTCAGAAAGAAGTATGCACTGGCACGAATGAGCTGAGAACTTCGAGTTAAACAAACGTCGTTGGGGAATATTAGTTCAATCAATTTTAAAATTTCAGAGTTATTCGAACCCTGATATTCCTAGCATGGTCAATACCATTGCTATTAGCTTCTGTACTTTTCATACTGGAAACATTGGCGGATTTACCCAAAACTGAGTGCTCCCCTGTAGAACTTCCCTCTATTTACATTCTGTTCTCTGCTTCGGTTTCTTTCATAATTCCAGCGGTTATAATGGTAATGACCTCACATTTTCCAACCTGATAGACTTGATTCCGCAGATTATCCTTAATGTCTCAATTTTCAACCAAGTCTCTCTTAGTAACAGTTCAAAAAAAGTGAATTACACTGATGGAATCGCTCTACGAGTCCACAGAGGTCGGCGAAAATCTCATGCTGCGGTAATTTTATTTTCATTTTTCGTCGCATCTTTATATTGATGAGCTCAATATTTTGTCTTTCTTCAGGCAATCGAGAGTCAAAAAGTGAAGCAGTTGAGTGCTAGTCCGAATTTTTCAAGCGATCGGATGTCAGATGATAAAGAAAATATCGATACTATAGGTTTGACTTCGATGCTTCTTAAAAAAAAGGTCTTTTCAAGTTCATAACATAAATAACAAAATCTTATATTCTATACGGTAGGAGCATTTCACCCTGTAATATGATTTTAACGTAGTTGAACTTTCACATTCACATTTTGGCGCCCAAATGTAAAGGACTGAACTGAGAACGCTCAAATTTATTTAAGCTACGTGTACGCTGTGGATCGGTTGTATATCAGATTCTGCTCGAAAAAACATGCATGATCAACTTGGCTCTTATTTTGTTCTACGTTCAAATTTTTTTTCTAAAAGGAAAAAGTTTAACGTTTTTAAATGTCACACGATATTCTCAAAGGAGAGCAAAGTTATTGAGCTTTTTGGGCATTGAAAACAAAAGTTCACATATCTCTAGGAGTGTTGTAGAAGTTTCTTGTATTATTATGCCTCAGCACCATATCTTTAGAAACCTATATCTGACACCTAGCTTGTGAGTCAAAGTTCTACCTTACCTAATAAATCAGGCTTTGGTCAATCGAAAAATATTATCATCTTTGACTTTTGATCGTAAATTAAAAATTAATTGGTTATTTATTCGTGATTGTTCAGTGAAACCAACGAAGGAATCCCATGTGGAAATTCGATCACTATTTTCGGCCACTCTTTTCCTACCTCTTATTGGTGGTGCGGTGAGGAAAACTGAGAGAAGCGGACCAGCAACTATAAAACTCCCGTACAGATGTTGCAAGTTATCGTAATTATTACCAACATTTCCCAGAATGCGAACATATTCACGTTTGTCCCGTATATCGCTGCGAACAGCAGAAATGCGAGTGGCAAGAACAACGTCTATTGTGGTTGGGGCTTTCATCATCTCTTGGTTTCCGTTTTTCTCTATTTATGTTATGCAGGTCTGGTAAATAATGGCGAAGTGGAAAATTCATGTTTTTTTTTGAAGATAAATGGCTTTTGTAAAGTTCCCGATTGCGTATCACACTTACTCTTCACGGTTGCCTTTTGGCTAGGCTATTCGAACTCTGCAATAAATCCACTTCTATATGCCTTATTTTCTCGAGATTTCAGGAACACTTTCCGGAAAGTTATCACGAAACTATGTCAAAAATAATAAAATGCTGGAAATAAATATTTATCATTTTAAATCACTTCCTTTTAAGCTTCAGACAAAGAAGGGATTCGACAAAGAAAACTGTTGTTTTCGTAAGCATCCCGATTCATCGCCTTGTGCTATAAAAAGAACATAATATACGAAGAATATGACGAAAACCTGGAAATAATCGATCGAATGAGAGAAAAATTAAAAATATCTCTTACCAAAGGGGAGACAAATCTACAGATAGAATCCAGTCGATGATATAGTTTCGTCAAACGATAAGCTTCGGCTTTGCATTGAAGTCGTTCAAACTCGTTTGAAGCCCTTGTTGCGTTTTTTTCCTGATAAGTTTACTCTTGAACTATTTTCCTCTTATGATTGTGTGTTATTACCATTGCTCTGCTTTGCTTTATCAAAGCTAATACAGTCAAACTTTCGATCAATGAGAAAACTGTGAACATTTTCATGGCCGCGAACCAAATGTCTATTGAAGTCAGATATGAAGTGCGAATTTCTTGGTCCCCTTTTTCCATTTGTACCAACGTCAGTAAAACCTGTGAAATAACTTTGATTATAACTCATTATTGTTGATGCCCACCGTAATAGGAGTGACGATTCGAACTTCTTCATAATTATATGGCACATAAGGTGCAACCCAAGCGAACATCATTGCCAAAGTGCTGGGTATATATTTCTCAACAACTGCTCGTCCCCCATCTCTTTCGAGCACGAAAATTAAACGAAGGCTAGACGAAGGCACTACGAGAGTCATTTTGTCTTAGGATTGAGGCATTCGCTTACGTAATTTTCCCTCTACAACACATGGTTCTGTATAGAGACGTTCCAAATGCAATTCAGGCAGGGCGATTCGTGATTGAAAATGAACTGGTTTTGAATGCCAATGGAATTGTACAAAAGAAGAGGGATATGCAACTGAAAATCACAACAAGAAACTATAGAACTCGTTGACGGAGCACCTACTTGAGCTTATAATGAGGTCACAAACCTGACGATCATGAGGATACAGACAGAATGTCATAAAGCAGTTGCAAACAGATGATACCCTGAGGAAGACTACTGAATTAGAGAGAAAAGTTATTGAATAACCTCATAGTGTAAGTTACTAAACCACTCGGCATAACACGCATCCGAAAATTAGGAAACGAAACATGGTGGAAATAACTGAATTTAGAATTAACAAAGTAGGGATCTGGACGCCAAATTTTATCCATAATTTCTTTCTCGCGAATTCGAATAGGTTGGCTATAGTTATTGGCCAATCTAGAACGCATTAGCATTATAAGTATTACGATGAAAACTACCTTAGGTCGTACCATGTCAATTCCATTTCCATATCCGTAGTATATTCCATTAAAGCACTATCAAAATTAGCCAAGTATAATATATTTAGTTGAACCACTACATTAACAGGAACATCTAAATCATCATTTTGAAAACATAATGCGATTTGAATTAACCTGAGAAAATCAGGGGAGCCGAATTATTATCATATTCGCAACTTGCTAATATGGGAAGGATGAAACTACTACCCAAATCTCTGGAAGTCAGAAAGTTGAAAAAAATTGGGAATGTCTTAACAATTATAAACAAGGAAACATTCTAAAAGAAAACTAGATTTTTCGACTGAAATTCCTTTTTAAGCTCTCATACTTCTTTGTTTAAATTTCACAATCGAGTAAAACCAGCAGTGCTTGAGAAATGCAACCATTCTTTGCGTCAACACAACCGAAAATAATTTTCATAGATTTTAATCACGTGAGGAATGCCTATGTGTTTACGTATTCCAATTATGCAAATATTTTTTCAACAGCAGTTCGAAAACATTACCAACCTGTGTCGATCTACTGCCAATCCCTCTAAATTGCTGATATTCGTTAGACGCTGACGCAGTTCTTCTTCATCGAACTGACTTATGTCAATCACCATAACTTCTTTTTCTAATAGAGCTGTGTTCTTATGAGCCATAAGCTTGTTATCCTGTGTTAGATCAGGTTGTTCCATCATTATTTCTATAACAGCAATATTCGATTTTGATCCAAAATTTCTTTTGTTTCTCATCCTGCGTATGAGACTGAATGCAAGGAAATCTCACCTATTACTTCGAAATTCGGTCCTATTCTTCCCTTCTCATTTAACACAGTGTATACATTATTATTATTCGGTATAGGGCCTCCCATTTGCTGTTTCTCTCCTACCACCTGTTTTTCTTTTGTTGTACCGATTGTGATATTTTCATCATTTTCTACTACTGCGGCCGACGGTGCCATTTGCTTTTGATTAAACGTTTCTGAGTCAGTTCCAAGATCTTAAACCATTTGAATCATTTTTGTAAAATCATCACTCAAACCTTTGGTATATTGATTGGGACTTTTAAGTTCCACAATTGAAAAACTGTCGTGTTCGCCATCGCCTTTATTTTCGTTTTCTTTATTGATCACTTTTTGAAAGTTTTGATGTTGTTTACCTTCTTCCTATAAGGATTCAAATTATTTGGATAACTGAAACAAAATGGAATACAATCTAATTCGAATTTTAAATTATCGCTATAGCTGGAGATCCTAAAAATCGGGAATGACTCAAACAGAATCTAAACTTACTGATGAAAAATGGCTGTCGGTCTCATCGACCGATACTTTCACTTTCAAAAACTGCAACCAGTTAGCTCCTAAACTATTTGTAACTGTTGTATCCTGGCAACGGATAAGAACATACTCTTCTTGAATAATTGTCTTTCTTCCGAATACGCGAAAGCTACAACAAGCGCTAGAATCATAATAAATAGAATTCTATTCATTATGCATGATGATCATGATAAGAGAGTTCAAATGAGCGTAGAGGAGACGCAAATGTAGTTAATTGTGGCGTCCAATTCTTTAGGAACTGGTTCCTTCAAAGGAATCTTCAAGATTCGACCTTCGATTGAATATTTTACCATCCTCACAGCTTATATAATTTAATGATGAAATCCTTCTACTTATCACTCGTTCCATTGTTTATCACCCTTTTTGATTCGTTTTTTTTTTGTGGCTTGTTAACTCCAGTTAACGGATTGATACGCTCTGCCACTCAGTATTCACGTGAAATCCCAATAAGATCCTCCATTTGTTATCATCTTACGAGATGCTATACGGGTGAAGTAGTCATTCATAATTTTTCGAAGATAAAATGATGAGAAACAAACATGGATGGCAATTAAAAATCAATTTATTTATTAATATTTCACTCATATGGAGTGTTTGTAACTACAAATCATATTCCGAAACATACATCAGCAGGAATCACAGCAATAACGCCATACTCACTCCCTGAGCTAACAGTTGCTTCCAACAAAAAAACACACAATATTACAATTGTGTTTTTCAAAGAGTGCTCCAACTCAGAAACCAACAGAGCAAGAAAAGAAAGGAGACAACCAAGCAGTTCGCCTGATGAAGACCGCGGCCGTGGCTGCGAGGGAAGCCGGACGACAGACAGGCAGACACTTCTAATGTAAACACAATATGATAAGAAGAGACGCCGGGCAGTTATAGAACATAGAAAAAGGAGGAGAGATGGTGTAGTCGATAGTACACTCTGCCTCCCTGCCAGTGTGTGTATCTCCCTCCCAGTCCCTCTCTATCTATTTTCCTCTCCCTCTATGTTTTGCGTGGTGGCTGCTGTATGTATTTCGATTGCGCCAGCCCGGTTGCACATTTAGCCTCAGCCCTAGTGGAACGCGTATTCCCCATAGAGAAGACGCGCACGAGACTTACGGGCGCTGAATAGCGTCTCAGGGCGCAGCAACGCGTCGCCTGTTTGTCAGGCGACTCAAAATCTCTTGTCTTGAAGGAATGTTCGAGTTTCTTCTTTCATTAATCAGTTGATACAATGTAGTATTAAGAATTTGTATATATTATACATATATAAACGTTGTTTGTAGTCATGCACACATATATTGAAAAACTTTTTTCTTTTTCCTTCTCAACATAAATAGTATAGAAAGTCGTTATCTTCTCTACGGCTCTTACACAAAAGATTCTCTTGATTTTAGCAAAGCAGTTTGCTGAGGATCGACTGGTTCGCGTTTTTGCGGCAGTCATCCTTTTTCGAAAAGAATGGACGGTATAGATCCAGATGTTCTATTAGAATGGCTGCAAACAGGCGCAGGGGAAGAAAGAGATCTGCAGGTAACACATAAGAGTTAAATTATTAAACCACTCTGCTATGAAATAAATAAAATTCTAATCGATTTGCAGCTTACCGCTCTCGAGCAGTTATGTATGCTTCTTCTTATGTCCGATAATATTGATCGGTGCTTTGAATCATGTCCTCCACGAACATTCTTGCCCGCTTTATGCAAAATTTTCTTAGATGATTCTGCTCCAGACAATGTGCTAGAGGTTGTAGGGAAAAAATGCGCAAAGTATGAAGAATATTTTAGGTAACAGCTCGAGCTATCACATATTATCTTGATGTTTCGAACGAGTGCACGAGAAGAATAACTCAGGTTTGTTTTTGCTTAATGGTCATGTCACATGACATATTCTATTCGGTTGAGATATGAATTTCCCTACAGGTTGATGGTGCTATTAAAGCTATTTGTCATCGTTTAGCTGCTGCTGATATGTCTGAGAGAGCCAGTAAAGATTTAGGTTCACCTTATTTTATCGAACATCAAAATAAGAAATTTCGTTCAGCTGAACAATGTGTTAAATTACTTGAACATGTTTGTCAAAGAGAAACTTTAGCAGTTTATGAAGCTGGTGGAATGAATTCTATGTTAACATTAGTTAGACAACAAGGAGGAAGCATACATAAAGTTGGAATATTTTACACAATAATTAAAAATTTATGTGATTAGGATACTATGCATTCTGCTATGTCTGTTGTGACTCGACTTTGTGGTAAAATGGAACCCAATGATTCAGATTTACCTCAATGCGCAGAGAGCCTTGGGCTTCTTTTAGCTCATGATGATACTAAGGTTCTAGTGTTATTATACTCCTACGGAGTCCAATCGTTAACGTTCAGGTTGCTGAAAGTGCTCTTCGTTGTTTTGCTGCTCTCACTGATAGATTTTTGAGGAAAATGATGGATCCAGCTGAACTTGCAACACATAGTAACCTGGTTGAGCATTTGCTTTCAACTTTGGCCTCTGATGCGGAACATTCTCCGAATTTTCTTTCTATTGTTCTATCTTTATTAAGTAATTTATGCAGGGGTAGTGCCACTGTCACTGACCAGGTTCTAAGGTTGGCTTGAAATTTATCTTTTTTGTAAATTGGGATATCTAAGCTCATCACATCTGATCGATGCCATTCATTCTGTTCTGACTAACAAAGATGATCGGTGTGTTGCTGATGGACTGCGATTGGCCGATCTCCTCGTTGTTCTTCTCTGTGACGGAAGAAAAGCTCTTCCTCATTCAGCTCCCGTATGACGAGTATCGAAACGAATTTTGCTTTATGTTGAATGTTCAGATAACAGGAGAACCTTCCATTAGCACACAAAACTCAGATAGAACTCACCGACATCTCATCGATGCCATTCGTCAAAAAGATCTTTCTGCTCTTGTAGAAGCTGTTGAGAGTGGAGCCGTATGTCATAAGCTCAATTACGCTCTTATAAATTGATAATAGGTTGATGTAAACTTCACTGATGATGTCGGTCAAACTCTATGTAACTGGGCTTCTGCCTTCGGTTCCCTTGAAATGGTTCAATATTTGTGTGATAAGGTCGTTTACTATCATTGTTTATCTTAGAACATTTTCAACTTTTAGGGTGCTGATGTGAACAAAGGACATAAAAGTAGTAGTTTGCATTATGCATCTTGTTTTGGAAGACCCGATGTTTGTAAATCACAAATTTGAGGATTTCATAAGTTATTGTTCAGATTGTCAAAGTTTTATTGCAAAGAGGAGCTAATCCTGATTTACGTGATGAGGATGGAAAAACAGCTTTAGACAAGGCACGAGAGAGAAGTGATCAAGATCATTCCCAAGTCGCCCAATTATTAGAAGGACCTTCAGTTTATATTCATGGAAGTCTGATTTCTTCCTCTGTCGATTTTCAATTTTATTATTTTCAGAATCCGATGATATAAACAAATCGCAAACACAATGCAGAAAAACAAGCACGAGTGATCTTCCAGATCGAGAGCTATCTTCAAGAGTTCTTCAACAGCTTCTTCCTATTTTTTGTGAGATTTTCCAGGTTCCCTATTACTCTCTTGATTTAACACTAATTTTGAACTTTTCAGAGATCTCTTTCCAATGGCGTGCGAAGAACTTCCTTATCCCTGCTAAGAAAAATAGTTGAACATGCTCAAGCAGACAATTTAAAACTCAAACAGAATGGTGATTATATTCTCTCTACCTATATTATTTATTATTTAGAACGTGATAACTCTACTTTTGCTGAAGGTTCAGAAAGGTTGATCGCAGTGGTAGTTTCTGTTCTTGATCTAGAAGATGATTATGATGGTCAAGAACAAGTGCTCTTGGTTAGTTCTTTTTTTTTAATGTCTAGTTATAACTTATAACCAAACACGTTTCAGATCCTTTCTTCTCTACTCAAAAAAGATCCAGAACAATGGGTAGCCGAACTCATAAGGCTTGGGGTTTTCGAGAGAGTCGAATCTCTTGCAAAGAAATCTTTAATCGATCACGATGACTTCATGGGGGAGTTAAATAAAGCAAGCGAAGAAAACGCTTATGAAATAATGGCCAGAGCCAGTAAAGCTATATCTTCGACTTCCGAATCAGAAACGGAGAGTGTTTCCTCAGGAAATCTTGGAGATTCCGAGAAAGATAATGTGAGTTTGAATGTTTCTGATAGTTATGAACAAGAAAGTTTAGAGCTCCATTGATGGTGCCTCCGTGGTTTCAAGTTCAGCCTCAACTATCGATTCAAGCGATACTTCTTCGACGTCATTGTTTATGGCAGCTCTTACTAATGCTGTTAGCTCAGGATTACCACAATTATCTAAGGAGGAGAAGCGATCAAAACAAGTACTCCAAGTAAATACTCCTTACAAGTTCAAGGATTGGCGTGTAGCTCGAGGTGAAGATTCTTTCTTCGTTTGGAATGATACGACCGCTTTACAGTTTTGGTAATGCATGAACATGATGTTTTTTTTCTAATTCTTCATTTTCAGTTTCCAAAGCAATGGATGGGTCAGTTACCTCATGAATGGCGATTTGAGCGTGTTGCTTACAAATGTTTCTTCTTCTACTCAGAAGAATGAAGATAGGGTGACGTTTGTTACCAAGTGGAGGAAAGCTAAAGCTTTATGGCCCGAAGAAAGTGGGTTGGTCAATTTGGTCAGCGTTCCGTCATCGAGCAAAAAGGTTTGTAAATGTGCATATTTTCTCGTTTATCGATTGTTTGAAGTGGGAGGTTCCTGGTTGGGAGATTGGCCACACAAAGGCGAATGAGATGACTATAAAGTCTTTGAAAGGATCGAATGTGATAACAATGAAAGATGATATGGGTGGCTTCGTTTTTGAAAATGCGGAGAAGAATAAGCAAACGTTCTCTCCAGATGTTGCTTTGCCTACCGAATTCCATACAGGTTACTTTTTGAGTAGTTTCTGTTGACATGATATGCTTAAGGTTGGAGTGCGCAAGGAGTCACAGGACGACGAGCTAAAATCAGAAATGATATTCAACGACGACGAGTCCAAGAACTTGCCTTGGAGTTGTGGAATAATCATTTGAAGGATGCCAGAGCCAAACCTAGAGAAGCACTTATCGAACTTCAAAACGTACCCAGCTAGAAACCGATTCGGTTTTCAACATATTTCATTTAGGCTGCCAATATTATTGAAAGTAGTGTATCAGACGCTTCTCGGGATATAGAACTGTACGGCGCAACTGATCTCAAGCATAAACACAAACGGCAACCGCGAATTGAGAGGGTTCAAGAGGTTAGATAAAGGATGTCGATATTTTAATAATTCAAAGTCAAGCTTGTTGCTGCGATGAAAGTAGTTAGAGATTCCGTTATGGATGATCGGCGTCTTTCAACATTTGAATTTTCTGTTTCTGGTGTAATTCCTGTCTTGTTAGATGTTTTACTCCTTGTGGATTCTCATCCTAATGCATACCCAGCTCGAATTTTCATGGAGGTCTTGATTTTGGAAGTTTTCTTTAACATTTGTTAGAATTCCAGGCTTTTTCTGAAGGAACTGCTCTCGCAAGTTTGTCAACAAAAATGGTAGCTGTTCTGGAAGCAAATGAACGGTTCCCTCAGTACTTGTATGATACTCCTGGTGGATCCGCTTTCGGTCTGCAGCTACTCAGTCGCCGAATTCGCATGAAACTAGAATATGCGGGTAGCGAGAAAGAGCATGAACGCCAACTTCTCAATAGAAGCGGTAAAATTCTGAAAAGTGAACCTGTAACAAGTGTGAAGCAGCTGAAGCAGTTCTTATCAAAAATGGTTGCAAAACAATGGTGAGCTTTAGTTATACTGCATTTACTCTATGAAGTGCTTAAGGTATGACAAAGAAAGACGTGGTTATAACTTTGTTCGACAAATCCAAGATACTAAAGGGCTCAAATTCAACTACACGAGTGATTTTGATGAGGAAGGGATCCTTTACTGGTTGGGCACAAATGGGAAAACATCTTCAGAGTGGGTCAATCCAGCGTCAGTAAATATTGTTCAAGTTGGTTCTTTTTTCGTATAGTATTCTTATTTTCTAATTCAGTGTTTCTGTTCTGATCAGCGACAACCCTTTGGCAAGCCTGCAGATATTCTTAGTCGCGATGGAAATCCCATCAACTGTCATACAAGTGACGACAAGTAAACTCTTTTTTTAGTTCCATAATTATTCACAACGAATCAGAAATGCTAACTTTCTTATTGATTTGGGAGTCAATATCTACCCTTCTGCCTATACATTACGTCATGCCAGAGGATATGGACGATCCGCTCTCCGAAATTGGCTTCTTCAAGTATTTTTTCTTGTATTCTTCGTGTGCAATCGTAACTGCATTAAGGCCTCAAAGGACAAAAATGTTTGGGACGTTCTCGTTGCCCATGCAGATGATTCTAGCTTGTCTGATCCTGGATCTACTGCAACTTGGCCAATTGAAGATGATCGCAAGAAAGGTTTGTATTTCATAGATTTTACAGTTATTGATTCCATCTTAGGTCCTTATCGATACATCAGAATTTCACAAAATGGAAAGAATTCGTCGGGTCAAACATATTATCTCAGTCTTTCGGGCTTCGAAATTTATGGTGAAATAGTAGATGTTGTTCTAGATGACTTTGTCAAGGAAGAGGATAAGGTATCCAAAATTTGTCTATTTTCTCATTCAGTATTCCATTTAGGCAAAGTCCAAAAGTTCAGCTTCTACATCTAAAAAAGACTCATCTTCCATCAACCCTGATGAGGTAATCCTTTAAATAAGTTATTTTTGTTATGAGCTAGTTGAAGAAATCTCCTGCTGTAATGCAATTACCCGAAGGGTTAAACAACAACAAGTTCCGCTGTGGTTATACTGTTGAAACAATTGGAAAGAATCGCTTTGGAAGGTTGTTCGTTATGCTCATTATTTTACATTTTCTTCTTGTTGTAGAGGAAAGCAGAGCAAAAAGGAGCTCCAGGAGAAGGATTTCAGAGGTGTCAAAGTTGTGCGTGGTGCTGATTGGCGCTGGGATAATCAAGACTCCGGCTTCGAAGGACGAATTATCAGTTTGACTGACCAACATGGTTTGCCTCTGTTTCCACAGCTTATTTCTTTTTTTTTTTAAAGATTGGGTTGATGTTTTATGGGATAATGGTTATCAGAACTCGTACCGCTTTGGTGCCGAAGGCCGATATGATGTTAAAAAAGTTGAAAATGCTTCTGTTCTCAACACTGTCAAGGCCAAAAGCAAAGATCTCATCGCTAAATCTAAAGAAAAAAGAGAAGCTTCCAATTTGTCTGGCTTCGGCACTTTCACACCTTTCACAAATCATTCAAGAAAAGGAGTTGTTATTCCATTTTCGAGATTCCGTAAACCTGCTAATACGAACTGCGCGAGTGCTGGAGGTACGTCTGGAAGCTCCTCTATCGGTAAGCTCTTTCTCGTTGTAAATATTTGGCTGCTCAGCTGTTTGTACATATACATATTTGTATATTTCTCGAATATTTTTACATTTTCCACTACTTTTAGGTAAAAAATCTATGTCAACTACCAATTTGGTGGACGCAAAAGAAGGATCTCATACCGGACCATCAGTTTCATCAACTGGGCAAGCTGCGTCTGCCGAGTCTTTGCAACACCAAACGCCGTCACTGGAAAACTTATTAGCCAGGTATATAATTATCAGATTTGCTAGAAATCATAATGATTTCAAGGGCCAATAATCACGCTTTCGGACGTATATCGGAAGCTACTGAAGGGTCTGAGACCCCTGAGCCTGGATGTGCGACTCCAAGAGCAGAGGAATCTGAATCCCTTGAAAGCTTGAGTGCCAACAGCTCTAATGTAGAGCTTTCAACGTCGTCTTCTCGCTCCTCTGTGATAGAAATTGTCACTGATATGAATGCTACTTCAACTCCTCAGAGTGACTCCAAAATGAGTAGCTTATCAGTATCAGCTCCTAATTTGGCGGCTGTAAGACAGCGTCAGCAGTCTAATGACACGTTTGAAATGGATAAAACGGTTGAAGAAGATGAAGACAGAGAGGATGATGAGGATGATGATAGCTCTCATAAAGATTTAGCCGAATTTGTTGATGCACTATCCACTCATCCAAATCAGTGCCTAATGGAGAAAATAAGAGCTGCACTATCAGGTAGAGTTTATGTGAGTATGATCCTATATGTTTGTGTTTCAGAGGAAAGTGGAGAAAGCTCCAAAGACTCTGCACAGTCTTCTCAGGCCAGCTTCACTCCTTCCAGTAGATCGGTTACTAGATCTTGGAGGAAGGAGAGATCATCGCTTAAACAAAAACTGGGAAGTTATGCCGAAGTACTAAAAGGACTCATGCAAACTGTAAATATTTCATAAGATGAATAAGGTATACTGAAGCTTATTGTTTAGGTTATGGATCCAAACAATACGCCTCTAGAAGTTGAAGAGTTATTAGATGAGGATGATTACTTCGACGAAGAAGATGGGAATGAGGAAGATATGGATGATGAGTTCCATCTAGATGTTCCAGTTGAATCACTGTTATCTGCGTTTGGTTCAAGAAACGAAAAATCATACAGTTTGAATTGGAAACAAGTATACTTATCATAGTTTTCGTAGAATTTATAAATTCTCTTCAGCTATCTCAACTTATGGGTTCAACATTGGAGTCTAAGTTCCGTGAATGTCGTTCAAGTTCTAGGTTCACACGAAGCTGGGATGAAGATATAGTTTTGAAGTGTGCTTTCCCTGTCAGTTTGAATTGTTGTATCAATATTTCATCTTCATTTTTTCTAGGCTTTAATACCGGCTTTTGATCCCAGACCTGGCAGAACAAATGTGAATCAAACCCAAGAAGTTGAATTACCATCAGTAGTACCTGAAGCATCCAATCAGAAGCCACAGGTATGCCAATATAAAAAATATCTTGATGTCATTATTATTTTCAGAATGATTCGACATCCTTGCGTCTGTTCCTCAGAGGGCCGAATATGCCTGGAATTTCTAACGTGACTGTGGAAATGAAAGATGATGATGAAAGCGTATTCCGCTATGTGCAAGATCTCATTAATATAATCAAATGGGAATCTGTAAGTTGTAATTGTAGTGAGTTTTTACTTATCTTGACGCTAAGAAGTTCGAAAGGAATCGTCGCGTCTGGGAACCAACATATTCTCTAATTTATGAAGATTCCAACTGTCCTCCTATAACCATTGCTAGTGATATTCCACTTGAGAGCGATGCAGTTCCGGAAACTGTTAACGAAGTATCCTCTATGATATTCCGCTATCTTTATTTATCTATTTCCAGTGTTTGGAGGTGATTCGCTTGTTGGCTCGTGTGGTGGAGCGGCTTCCTGATGCTCAGATTACACCTCAAGTGTTCATAAGCGATAAAATTACTTTGAAATTAACTCAAGAACTGTCCGACGCCCTGGTCGTAGCATCACGTGCTTTGCCGCTCTGGTGTGAACGCCTTGTATATACATATCCATGTCTTTTCGCCATGGAAACAAGGTTTGATGTCAAATAATGCTTATAAATTTAATGAATTTTTCAGAAACATGTACATTAATGCCACTGCATATGGTGTCTCTAGAGCAATCGTATGGCTCCAAAACAGAAGAGACCAAGTTGCCGATAGAGCGCGAGGAACAGCTCAAGGAGCTGCAAGTAGTGCTACAAGAAACGATCGTTATCAAGAATATCGAATCGGTCGCTTGAAACATGAAAGAATCAAGGTATTATCGTCCAGGCTCAAGTTTTCCAACGAAATATCTTCCAGATCACACGTTCTGAAGATGTGTTGCTTGAACAAGCAATTCGTCTTATGAAGTTCCATGCTGACCGTAAAGCTGTTTTGGAAATAGAATACAACGGAGAAGAAGGAACTGGTCTCGGGCCTACGCTTGAGTTTTACGCTTTGGTTGCTGCTGAGCTACAAAGAAAAACATTAGCGTTATGGTGGTGCGACGATGCAGACGAACATCAATTAAAAATTGAAGAACGAGAGTTGGATTTAGGCGAAGGAAAAAAACCACCAGGGTTAACATTTATAAATCCTGGCGTTTTTACATTAAATGTTTTACAGGTTCTACGTACGAAGAGCTGGAGGATTGTTCCCTGCCCCATTACCTCCTCATACAGAAGAAGTACATCGTGCGTCAGAGATGTTCAAGTCCTTGGGAATTTTCTTTGCTAAGGTATTTGCAACTTTTTATAACATTGTCCACATTTTTAATTCTTCCAAGGTTCTACAAGACGGTAGATTAGTTGATTTACCATTGTCGCGCCCTTTCCTGAAGATGGTTGTAAGTCCTCAATTAAGCGTTGGAGATCAACCTAATTTGGACAGAGTTTTAACTCTAGATGATTTCGAGGAAGTGCATCCAGTGAAAGGTTTTGTGATCATTGATCTTCGTTCAATAGTTTTTTGTTAAGGTGGATTCTTGAAAGAATTAAAGGCTTTAGCACAACGTAAAAGGGCGATTGAGAATGATTCGGCGCTGGACCGTGAGGCCAAAAGAAGAAAGATCGATGAATTGAAACTATGTATTCATGGAACTCGCTGTAAAGTGGAAGACCTCGCTCTGAACTTCACGTACTAATCTATTTCTCATGTATAATTCATGATCTTCATCGTTTAAGAGTTAATCCACCATCTGCGGTTTTCGAGTATGATGAGATGGAACTCATTGAAGGAGGAGCTGATATGGATGTCACATTGGATAATGTTGACATTTATGTTGAGAAATGTACAGATTTTTATCTTAATTCCGGAATAATTGAACAAGTAAATTAAACTTCTCTCAATTTTCGAATTTTGTTTGTTTTTCAGATGAAAGCTTTCCGTGAAGGTTTCGACAAAGTTTTCCCTTTGAAAGCTCTACGATCGTATTCGCCCGAAGAAGTTCAAGTAAGCTCCTTCGCGTTCCTATTATCTTAACGACTCATTCAGCGTCTGATTTCGGGAGAACAATGCCCAGAATGGACTAGAGAAGATATTTTGCAATATACGGAACCAAAATTAGGATATACTAAAGAATCCCCTGGATTTTTGCGATTTGTCGATGTGATGGTTGGGCTGAATGCTCAAGAAAGAAAGAATTTCTTACAATTTGCTACGGGTTGTTCAAGTCTTCCTCCTGGTTTGTCTCTAATTTTATGACGTCATTTATTTACTTTTTGCAGGAGGTCTAGCAAACCTTCACCCTAGGCTGACTGTTGTCAGAAAAGTTGAGAGCGGTGACGGAAGTTATCCTTCGGTTTGTATCAGAGCTTAAATTATATATCACCTAATCTTATCTTAGGTAAATACCTGTGTTCATTATTTGAAACTCCCAGAGTATTCTTCCGCCGAGATATTACGTGAACGTCTACTGACAGCTGTTAATGAGAAAGGATTTCATTTGAATTGATTCAAAATTTTTTGATGAATTTCGATGCCATTTAGATTTTTATTTTTTGTACAAACTCACCTTGTCAGATTTCGATGTTTATCATGTTTTGTAAATATCAGGGTTAACTTCATTCGCTTTTCTCTAGTTTATTGCACGCTCCTTTTCGACAAATTTATCATCAAAACATTTATTTTACACATTTATCATAGCTTCAAGAACATGTCCGGTATGCCCTTTTTGGGTTATATATTTTTTAAAAGATGATTATAAACATGAGCAATATGCATTATCATTTTGATAAATCTTTCTTTTTGATTTCACTCTTTACTAGCGATTGTACTGTATACTATCAAATTGCACAAAATTAAATAAAGATTACTTCCTTGTGATTTATTTCTGTGCAATCTGTTTGTTATACGTTATATATCTTATAGTTTCACTACGAATAGTAGTTTCTTATATTTATTTTCAGAATGTCAATCCCAACTTTCATTCGCGATGTTGAACTTATTGGACAACAACTCTTTGATCACACACCAGCAGTTCAAGCTGAACTTGATATTTTCGTGGAAAGGTAGGTCCTTTTTTCTAGTTCAGTTATAATGTTTTTGTAGGTTTGAGAAGAATGAGAGACATCGAGAGTTTGATGGTATACTCAGAGCTAGTCATGCGGTACCTATTGTAAGCCTTCCTTTACAAAATTTTTCTTCAGCTTGTGGAAGCAGCAGAAACTCCAGTAGAGGCTTTGTTCGACGCGAATAAAATGAAGAACCTCACAAATGATATTGATGGAGTAACAGAAAGAATAACTAAACTAACGAAACCAGTATATGAGAAGGTTACCCTTACTGCTGTGAACTTTATTCGAATCATAAATTTAAGGAACATGAGGAATATCTAAATGAAATCAAGAGAACGCAAAAGGAATATGCAGACTTATGTAGAGCTGAAGCTCAAAAGAAAATGAAAGCGAGTTCCCGATAGGAAACTGTTTATTATTACTCATTCAACTAGTCTTAAATTATAACTTATTAGATGATGGATTCACCCATTTATAAGTTCCAGTAAATACGAATCCGTGGTCTCTCATAAGTTCATCAGCTTCCCTTGGTCCACGGCTAAAATAAATTATTTATAAGAACTACAAATTATCTTCTATACCTTCCAAACTTATATTCAATAGGTTTCACTTTTTCATCCTCTAATTCTTTGAGAACGGGCGTTACAATACGCCAAGCATTTTCCAATTCGTCGGTGCGAACAAAATTGATTTGGGACCCCATAAACACTTCCAAGAACAAACGCTCGTAGGCATCGGGCAGTCTCACATCCTATAACAAATTATAACGCTTCAAAACCCATTTAAAAAACCTTGTATCGTGAATTATAACTGAGATCGAGTTCTGATTCTTCAACACCGAATCCCATTCCAGGCGTTTTTGTCATAAGTTTAAGATAAACAGCTTCATTTGGCTGAACTCTCATTACCAACTCACTTCTGTAACATATTCAAGTTTGACTTTTTTCTGCTTAAATATGACCTTTTAAGTTCGCCTGATGGGTAGATGTCCCCGTTAACAGCCTTGAATTGAATCCGAACTTCAGCTTTCTTCTCGTTCAAAGCTGGGAAGAAACGATACTTACAGAGGAACTGAAACAAACCTTTTCCACATCTCAAAAAGAAGGGTACTCCTTCCCAACGTTCATTATGCACTTGCAGCACAGCCAATGCATATGTGGGAGTGTTGGATTCTGGCGGAACGCTTGGATCATCCTTGTAACCTTGACTAGCCTCGGGATCTGAAGTAGAGAAAAAAATCATATGTATCAAATACGGAAGAATACGATCAAAAGTTGGATCAGCAACGTATTGTCCAATAACAAGGTCTTTCATTTCTATGGGTTTAATAGCCTTCAGTACTTTCACCTAAAATACACTTTGACAAGCGCGAAAATTTAATACAAACCTTTTCGTCACGTATATCTTCAGCGTTCAAACTATGAGGCTTCTCCATAGCGACCAATGTTAATATTTGCATCAAATGGTTTTGAAGCACATCCCTAAGAGATCAGAATGAAACTTTAAAAACACGAAGTTCTCATCGAACCGGATAATTCCAGCTGCATCAAAGTAACCAGCTCTTCCCCCCGTTCCGAAATCTTCTTTAAAAGAAATCATGACAGACGCAATATTGTCTCTATTCCAGGAAGGTCCCAAGAAACGGTTTCCAAATCTTAAACATATATGAAATTCAATGATTCATTTCCGCTTCACACCTCAAAACCATCAGATTCTGGACCATTTCTTTTCCAAGATAGTGATCAATTCGATAGAGTTGGTTCTAAAGAGAAGAGTCCTTTTACGTTATGTTTTTGCCAACCTCAGTGAATAACTTTGATAAATGTGTAGATAACTGAGTAGAAGATTCGAGATCATGTCCAAAAGGCTTTTCAATAATAATTCTTGTCCAAGAGTCTCTGCAATCAGCAGTCATGTTGTATAAAGAGAGATTAGATAATACCCCTTATCCATACAATTGGACTTTAAGTTACTTGTTACTACTTCGAAAACTGAAGGAGGAAGAGCAAGATAATATAAACGGTTCACCGGTCCTGCAAACAGAAATAAGATTCGAATAAACTCTTATGTAGTTATTACTATTATTGCACGATTTTTGAAGATCGTCGATATATGTTTGAAGTTTGAGAAAACCTTCTGATGTATCATATCTTCCCTTAAAAACAATCGGAGATGTGAATTTCGACTATTGAACCAACCATTATATAAGAACAAGTGGATATGAAATTCTCAAATTGACTCTTCTCGTTTTCGCGTACCTGAGTTGAATATACATTCAGTATTCAGTAAAAACAACAAAACCTTGCAGGCTCCTTCGAAAGTCCCTCTTAACTTTTCGACTGTGAGATCGGAACGAGCATACCCGACTATTTTGCAGTTTGGGGGAAGTAGTTGATCGCGGTATAGCCACCACAAGGTAGGATAAATTTTCTTCTTGGCTAAATCGCCCTAAACATGAAATGAGTACAACTCTGACTATAAAATCTCACAGATGCTCCGAAAACGACGAAAACGTAAGGAGGATCGAACTGCATGTTCTTTTCCATGGATTCTTTGAGGTGTTGAACGACATCTGGGGAAAGAGGTGCAGAAGAAGAGTTTGAACGTTCACGAATACTCTCCATTTCTGAAGTTAATTATTTCAATCATAGAATAAGGGGAGAAAAAGATGTAAAAGTGAAAGAGCAGTTCATGTAACTCGACGAAAAAAGGTTATTTTACTTATTAATTGTTTGAAACTTCATCTGGGAATTCATAGCAAATAGAAAAGCTACGATTGCAAATATTTGTTGGGAAGAATGTTATAAATAGATCATTCAATCGATAACCGTTACAATAAAGAAAAATTAAAACTTTAAATTTTTTCCTTTCAATAATATTAAAAAAAACCTCCAACATCTCTCAAATCAAAGGGTGAATGAGCGAATGATGATTTAAAAGATTGTGTTGGTGGCGTGAGTTAGAAATATGAGAAAAGAGAGGGAATACTAGTAATAATAGGAAGGGAATTCAATATGCGACTAGTTCTTTGCTACAAACAAGACGTCATCAGTAGTCCTTGGTCACAAAGTGCCCGGACGCACGAGCTACGAGCGAGAACCTCCTCATGCCCACTTCTTCAGAAAATGATTACAAATGCCAACTAATCATCTTAGTTGGCGATTATTCTCTCCACAAGCAAAATTTTTATCACCAATTTTTCTGTTATGAACTCGGCGTGATATTCGTGTATGAAAATGGTGGAAAACAAATGTTGGGACAATTTGCCTCAGCTCATATGCTTCCACATTCACACCATATGGAATGATAGATAACAGTGTGCTCAGTTTTAAACACCATGTCGGAAAAGCAAGAAAAAAACTGATTATTTATTGTAGAACAAAATTAACGAACAGCAGCATTAAAAGTGGCAAATGAAAAAGAGTTGTAAAGCAGCACATTCAGTCGTCTTTGTCGGTTTCGAGGTTGATTCGATCACCGAACTTCGCATACAGTGTTTTCTTCAACTGGTCTAGTTCTTCGGCAATACCACTGCTTTTTTCCTGAAAAGAAAGTACAATAACCCTATGCATACAGCGAAATTTCATTGTCGTAAAGCGAAAGATAAGGAATTGAACAGAATCTACCTTCTTCTTGTCAGAATCACTTTCTAATTCAGTTTTCACTGTTTCTAGCTTGGCATTCAGATCGTCCTGAAAATATGTATAATATGCACAGGATAAAAGCATATATTCCTCACCTCGGACAAATGAATAAAAGTGTTTCCAATTTTGTATGGAATACTAGCAGTATCTTCACTATCTAGTAGGAGAAGTTCATCCGATGCATCATTTATGTTTTGAATTTCATTCGCGATTCCAGCTAAATCTTCCTGCAAGAAATTAGAATGAATTCTGTGAGTAACGTTCACGTCAACCGAGCAACTCATTTTATTCGTAATAAGCAGAGTTGTTCGGTTGTGTTCTAGAATAGATACGTTGAAGTTGTACCTTCAGTTGTGTCAAATTTTGATGAAGCCTAGCGAATTTATTGATTTGTTGTTGATCAGCAGCAGTTACATTCACGTTAGCCATTCTAGAAAACAATACAATAAAGCGATCAGAAAATTAAGGAGTTATGTGAATGTGTTTTGAGTGGGAAATGACTATTGACTATAGTTGACGGTTAACAGATACGCAGAGCATGCCGTTGAATTTGAAAGGAGGTCGTGGTTTCAAAAAGAAACTTTTTCTAAGATAATGAAAATGATAAGTGCAGAGAAGCTTCTCCAATTATCACTTATATGTTACTAGAATTACACTGCTCAGTTTTTCTTCTCGCGTTGATTTTAAACAGTTAACCGCCCTGATAGTTCCTTTTTTTTAGAATGTTACGTGTTCGAGCACTGGGCTATGAAACGCTCAGAAGGAACTCTACGGCTCCAATAATCAAAAAGATTAACAGAGTTTTGATAGCCAACAGAGGAGAGATTGCTATTCGAGTTATGAAAACTTCGCAGCGCATGGGAATTGAAACTGTAGCAGTATTCTCTGATGCAGATAGAAATGCCCTTTTCGTGAAGAAAGCGGATAGAGTAGGCGACTTTTGGGTTCAATGTACACGCAACATATTAAGGCATATAACATTGGTCCAGCTCAATCTTCTCAAAGTTACCTCAATATTGATAGAGTAATCGATACTGCAATTAAGTCTGGTGCACAGGTAAAACGGTAGCTGAGTTATATCGCCATCGTGATGGCTCTATTAAGGCTATTCATCCTGGTTATGGTTTTCTCTCCGAAAACTCAGCTTTTGCTGAAGCTTGTAGAGCGAATGATCTAGTTTTCATTGGACCTCCAGTTCAAGCAATCAAAGACATGGGAACTAAAAGTTTAGCCAAGCAGATTATGCAAGACGCTAAAGTTTGTTTGGGAGTGTTTCTGGATGCAAAGCGTTCATATTAGGTTCCTGTAGTTGAAGGATTTCATGGAAGCGACCAATCTGATGCAAATTTGAAAATTCATTCAGCAAAAATAGGTAATGATTTTTAAATTAAACCCTCTGACTGTAAAAGTTACAGGATATCCTGTCATGTTGAAAGCTGTTTATGGAGGGGGAGGAAAAGGTAAGCTCTTTGCTGCATGACTTGAAAATATTTCTCAGGAATGCGTATTGCTTGGAATGAGGCCGAGTTTGATGAAAAACTTGCTTCTGCGCGAAATGAAGCCATGAAATCGTTTGGCAACGATGAAATGCTAGTTGAGAAATTTGTAGAAAGACCAAGACATATTGAAGTTCAAGTATTTTATTAATCAAGTAAGAATATTTCTCAGTTGCCTATAGGTTTTCGGTGATCATCATGGAAACTACGTACATCTTTGGGAGCGAGATTGTTCTGTACAAAGAAGACATCAGAAGATCATAGAAGAAGCCCCAGCTCCTCTTATCAGTTAGCCAGCAATTTTCTTCTCTATCTATGTAATTTTAAGATATGGAAACAAGACAAAGATTAGGCGAATCAGCGAAAAGAGCTGCTGCTGCCGTGAGATATGTTGGCGCTGGAACTGTAGAGTTTATCATGGATCCTAGAGGGGATTTCTATTTTATGGAAATGAACACGAGGCTTCAAGTTGAACATCCTGTTACAGAGGCTATAACAGGTGTTATCGTTATGCTTTATTTTCTTCAATTCGTTTTCAAGGAACTGATTTGGTTGAATGGCAGTTACGTGTGGCTCAAGGAGAACCGCTTCCGCTCAAGCAAGAAGAAATCCCTCTGAATGGTCATGCTTTTGAATGCAGAGTGTATGCAGAAGACACAAGCAACGGTGCTTTCATGCCAACTGCTGGTAAAGCGCAACATTCTGGTTGATATAATTTTTTTTAAAGGTAAAATTAACCATATATCGTTCCCTGAGAATGCAAGAATCGACACTGGTGTTGTCTCAGGAGATGAAGTTTCTGTTCACTATGACCCTATGATTGCTAAGGTTTAAGAATGGTTTTTCGTTATTCAAAGGCGTTTCAGGTTATTGTTTGGGGACAGAACCGAGAAGTTGCCGCCGCCAAGTTGGACGATGCTCTCAAAAAATCTTTGATAAGCGGATTACCAACAAATATTGATTTTGTGAGGACCGTTCTGAACCATCAAGAGTTCAAGAAGGTTTCGAACGTTATGTAGAACAACATTCATGTTATTTTTAGGGTAATGTATATACAGATTTCATTCCCGATTTCCATACGGAGTTGTTCACCCCTGTAAATGTGAAAACCGAAGTTGTGATTGAAAGAGCTTTAGGAAAAGTACTTCTGGATAGGCTGCGTTCAGCAGATTCACTCTATGAACGATTGTCTGAGTTTCGTGTCAACCATAGTTTTGAAGAAAGCATTCCGTTCGGTAATACTGTTAGCAGTTTTGTTCAATTTTCTCTTTCTTTTGTAGAATCTTCTAAAGTCAATGTAATATCTAAGGGTAATAATAATTTCGTAGTTTCTGATAACGGAGCCAGCTATGCTTGTTCTGTTAGTAATATTAATGTGAGTTTTTTCTTTATGTCTGTAACGATGAAGGGAATTATTTTTCTTAGAATAAGGAAAACACAATCAGTTTCACCATTGAGTGGGAAGGTAAACGATGGAATGTGTTTGCTCTACAGTTGCAGAACTCAGCTATGGTTTGGAAATGTAGTCATTTTATCTTATTCAATTCGCGGTTTTGAGATTATTGGGGAGGAACAGTCCGAGTTTACTACTGCGGAAAAAGACTTTATGGCTGCGTTAGAAGGAGAGCAGGGTGGTAACACCAGTGCAGTTGCTCCGATGCCTGGAATCATTGAAAAGGTTTTGGTCAAAGAAGGTGATACTGTACGTTTATTTCTGGCTTGCAATCCATGAAATAATTTTTTTTTGTTTAAGGTCAAGCAAGGGGAATCACTTGTGGTGATGACAGCCATGAAGATGGAATATATCATCAAGTAATATATCTCTTTCTCATACTTTTCATTGATACATCCTTCAGAGCTCCAAAAGATTGTACCATAGAAGCAATATCGTGCTTACCCGGAAAGAGTGTAGCTAAAAATTCTGTTTTGGTCAAGTTCCAAAGCTCGTGAAGAACACAACTGAGAGCATAGATTAGAAAAGTGCTAGTCAGATGGCATATCAAAATTTTAATAGATAGAGTTTATTGGTTTATGCATATCATTTTTTAGCACAATAAAGTTTTTTTTTAATTTCTAACTTGTGAGGATGTCAAATAGTGGAAAGAACGATCAGATGATCAAGTTATCCGAACATCGACAAGGATAATCCAAAAGTCTTGTCTTTATTACATGTTTTATGACGGGACAATATCAAAACGATCATTACAATAAGATCAACAACGATTTTGATTTATAAGTTTCTGTTTTTGAAAAGTGCACTTAGAACCTCCTTCCAACATTGTTTCCAAGAGAATCTTACTGAAATATTTAGAACATTGTTTATAGAAACATTTGTTTTAATCTCTCAAATTATTCATAGGAACCAGTTTAGACGTTTAGTCACACCGGCTAAAATTGAGCTTTACGTTTTCTGATATTTTTTAGTTGCCAACCTTGTCCGAAAAATATTCTAAAGAACAAGCAAATGATTCATGAAAATAATAATGAATTCTGCAGTATTCTGCCGTTTGGATTTGCTTCCCTATTTGTTAAACATTGGAACGAACCTGATTTCTTGATCATTTTGACATCAATACATTTGATAGTCGGGCAGTCTTTCGCCTAATATGATTATCATCCTGCACCGCTACCCACAATTACAAAAAATATGTTTGTTTGAATGCTTTGGGTAATTAATTCATACTGTGGATACTTTTTAGATATCCATTATTACCAGTTACGGTGTTCTGTCTTATATTACATCACACATTTTCTTACTCTTTCCTTTCTTTTTTCGCAGATTCTTTTATCATTGTAAAACAAAGATCTGTGAAGTAACCTTATCGATTTCAACCCTTCTATCTAAGTATGATGCTTTATAGTTTACGAATACTCTGAAAAAAAGGAAGAAATCAATCACAAATATCATGAAATCAGAGACCGTTATTACATTTGTATATTGCGCGGAATGCAAATTGTTTTACGGAATTTTCGAGAAATCGGCTTGTCATTCTGTTAAAATTTCCATTTAACGTGTAGAGGCACGTTTTGCAGTTGAGAGATTCAAAACTAAGTAGATATTTTGATCGAGTAGAAGAAAAAATCCAAGTTTTTCATTTTTTCCAATTTACATGTCGTCCCTTTCATTTTTATTTTTTAAATACTGATGATTAGATGATAGAAGATAGTCATCATGTTTTTCGAATGATAATATTCTCACGTCATATGCTAATTTACTGACGCATATTACTGCACTTACGAATAGATGTCATTCTCTTATATTGCGCGTCACGAACGGTTGTATTTCAGTTTTCTTTTCATTTATGTTGTGTTCTGGTAGCTGTTTAAAGGTAGTTCAAATTTATAACGTTTATGTGTCAAAACTCGCGTTTATCTTGAGATATCATAACAAAGACAACAATTAAGTTGTTTTCCATAAAATTGAATATACAAACTTCGGATGATTACGTCATCACTCGGCTAGATGAAAAACTGTGTTTCATTTCGGCTTGGCTTGTTCTGTGTTGGCACTTCTCATGTATATACATATTTGGCTAGTTATGGGAAGTTTTTTTTCTCAAATTGGTTGTATTCCGTATCTTCTAGTCAACAATGCATTGAACGAGATAGGCATACTGCGCTTATTCAAAGATCACTCATGATTCTTTTTTATTAACTCACAATTTACAATCTTTAAAAATCTTTTGTAGCTTACTATAAAACCTTCGAATTCATCTTATTTCGAAACTTTTTATACTTTGGTTTGTTTTTATTTACATGTTGTTCTTTTAGTTCAACTCTGTGCAAGCTCGCTTCCTGCAAATTATTCCTGAACTGCACTAACCGGTAGCAACAAAGATTTCGATCACTATTTCCTTCATTTCTTAATATCAAATGTTGACTTATTCCTTTTCTTAGATAGTAAATAGTCTCTAAATGATTTGTAAAGGTTAGTGAAAGCAGTCTTCCTACAACTCCTTCCGCTCGTCCCAACCATATACAAACACAACTTCTATAAATTCATATCGTTTTAATCTTCAGACATTTGCTTGAACTAACTATTCTTTACACCTTTTTCTGTGATTTTAGCGATTCCGTATCTCAAATAGGATTGCACTTTCACATTTCACTGTTTATGGATGAAAGGAAAAAAGAATTTATCTTGCATTATTCTCTGTTAATTTAGTGTTCATTGTCGATAATGATTCATTTAGATGACGATTAATTACAATTTGGCCGTATCAACGTCTAAACCTTGGACACTTTTTAAGCTACTGCTCAAATGGCGTGGAAGTATATGGAAAGCTGTGATATTAGAGCTCGTTGTTTGGTTGATTCTGTATGCAATTTTAAGTATAATTTATCGAACAGCATTAGCACCAGACCAACAGAGGTTTTTTTGTATCAAGAACCTTCGACCATGTCTTTTTAGAACATTCGAACGAATAGTACAATATTGTGATAATCGTCTCAGCTATATCCCCTTGAATTTCATGTTAGGATTTTTCGTAACTGCTGTAGTTAATCGTTGGACTTATTTATATCAGATTATTGGATTTATCGATAAGTAAGAGATGCTCTTACTACTACTAGTCTAAACTTATTTTTTCCTTTGAGTATTGGATTAATGACAGCTGAGTATGTTAGAGGACGATCAGAGCAAGCCAGAATGTTCCGAAGAAATATAGTGAGGTAAGTGTCATGGGTGAGATTCCGATTATATTCTTCTTCAGATATTGTGAACTTGCACAAGTGCTAGTGTTTCGAGATATATCCATGAGAACTCGCAGACGTTTCCCAACATTGGATACTGTTGTGGCTGCTGGTAGGCATAGCTTCTACTTAACTTAATTAAATAGCCTTTTAAGGGTTCATGATGCCACATGAGAAGGAACGCTTTGATGAAATCCAATATCGGTATAGTAAGTATTGGATGCCATTTCAATGGGCTTTAGCTCTGACATATGATGCTAGAAAGAAAGGTCTTATAGAAAGTGATTATTATCAAGTTGTTGTACAAGAAGTTGTTAAATTCCAACAAGAGATCATGAGTATTTTTTTTTACAGGAAATTAAGAGATTCCGTACGGGTTTGGCTTGGATTTGTAATTATGACTGGGTACCCATACCTATAATGTATCCGCAATTGGTTTGTCTAGCAGTTCACACATATTTCCTTGTTTGCCTGTTAGCCAGGCAGTATGTCATTTCGGAACATGCTGACAATAAAACTGAGGTAAGTTATCCATAAATTTTTATATGATTAAATGTCGGTTCACCAAATAGGTTCAGCAAATAAGAAACTTCCACTTTCTGATCTTAACCTACTTCCAAAAATCTTCCTGATTTTTCTTAAAGTGATTTTTTGATCTTAAACTTCGTTGTGAAGTTGTTTGCTTTACCTTTTGTTAGACATATTCTCCCAAATAATTCTCCTAGTATGTTTCTTAAGCCATGTGATCGTAGCGAAAATCGGGTGAATCAAATGATAATTTAATTGTTTACTTAAGACACTCAAAAGTCGCTGAATCACTTTTTATAGATTGATCTCTATTTTCCTATCATGTCTACTTTGCAATTCATATTTTACATGGGTTGGATGAAGGTGGCAGAAGCTATGCTCAATCCATTCGGAGAAGATGATGATGATTTCGAATGTAACGCTTTAATCGATAGAAATATAACGGTCTCACCCAAAACAAAGAAGTTTTTTTTTAAAAATTAGTTTCTCAGATGGTTTTAATGATGGTTGATAAGGGATATGATCGTCCACCTGAGTTGAAACGTGATCCGTTCTGGGATGAAGATGTGATCAGTTTAACCGTTTCTCTGTAACCATTTTTTTCATAGGTTGAGCCCCTGTATTCCGAAGAATCTGCCAAAATACCAAACAATCCTTTGAAAGGTTCCGTCAGTGAAGTCAAGTAAGCTCATTATTGGTGTTCTTCCTGAATATCGGAATATTCTATCTTTTCTCTGTTTGCGTTTGTTCGGCCTGTGTCATACCTCTCGCTTGTACTCATATTGAAAATTCCGATCAGAATGATATTTTTTGATTGTTCTATCATCAATTCACCAATGTTTCTCTTTATTACTCTGGTTATAGGCTACCCGAACATGTCACTGAAATTAAGATGGTGCCACATTATGATGATCATGATCCCTTATTACAGCATTCTCCATCTCTTAGGAGAAGAGTCAGCGTTGTACCTGTTCGACAGTGAGTTTAGAGTGCTTTGTTTCATTCTATTCTCATTTTAAGAAATGAACACCGTCAAAGTCGAACATCGGTTGGCTCATTGGAGATGTTCCGTAACATGAAACACAAACTCGAAAGGTGCTTCTAGAATGAAACAGACATCTATTTCTGAATTTAGATCATTTTCACGAAGCCACATTGGAGAAGATTTACCAAGGAAGACTATGTCTCATGGTAATCTGGAACATCTGGATCGTACGAAGAAAATGTCGTTCAGAAGCGGTGAAACTACTCCGACTGCGGAGAAATCATTCACAAATGGAGCATTCATCGAGAGTCGTAAGCACTTTGTATCTTGAAATAGGTTCCAATCCAAACTTTTAGAAGAGGATGTTTCTAACACTTTCAATCAGTCTATATCTGTAGAGAGACCGAATGCCTTGCACAACACGACGAAGGAAGTTCGGAAATCATCTTCTAGCTCGAACATGAAGCCAGCACATGAGTTTCAGCATCATGTTCTAGACGATGTGATGGAGGAAGCCGAAGAAGAAGTGTGTCACTCCCTTATTTTTCTATATATGAGTTCATTTACAGTTCGTAAGAAAGAAAAGTATTTTCGAGGCTTCAACTCTCGATCGGAAAGCTGATGATGATGCTAAATCTCAAAAAAGCACATCTACTGACAAAGAGAAATCAGATGATAAAAAACAAGATCAGATCTCAATCTCTATTGATGAAGAATGTGATGAGAAAAAAGAAGAAAACTCTAAAAAGAGACATTCGACAACAACAGCATCAGCTGCTGCTGATACATCAACGGATCGTCGTGAGAATCAAAGAAGCAGTGAATTTTTCATCGGTTTCGAAAACGATGATCATTAATTTCTTGATAACAAAGCATTTAAGGTGAATAAGAACATTAATTGGCGTATGCTGATAACTATCCATTTTCAGGATATATCATCATGCTTTATCCCATCATAGCTTTAGCTGAATTAGACGATATGTAAAGAAAAAGAGAGAAGAGAGAGGGAGTAACACAGGTTTCTATTAGATCCTGTGAAGAAATTTAAGAACGTCAAGCAATTTTCCACAAATTTCTATTTTCTGAAAAATTAAATCTGCTGTGCAGATCTCTTTTCTTCCTTAATCAACCAAAGAATTTCTCTCAGCCCATTGCACACTCGTTACACGAAATATTCCGAGTTTACGAAAACGACATATAGGAACGTTGTTTTAATAACTTTTTGTTTTTCTTGTTCTTATAATTGCACAGATTGTGATGTAAATATCATTTTTATCATAATTTATTGGGTAAAGTTGACTATTTGCTCCTAACAATTAAACTTTATAGATGTTCTGTTCATTATACAAGACAAAAGGCTCTTTCAACAACCTCAAATTGGCAATCGAGAAATGACTTAGGAGAATAACTCATGCTGGAAACCAATTATGCTCATCTCTAATCCTTCCAATTTGTTCCGGAAAACTTTTATGAAACTGAATGAAAGGTTTTTGTGAGCAAAACGGGCCTAGTGAAGACTAAGTGAGAAACAGGCGGTCCTTTCCGAAGCTTAACTGAAGCTTCTCATTCTTCTTTTAACTAATGTAATTGGTCAGCTGTCCAGTTGTGGGCACCCAAAATCAGGGTGAGGCGAGAAAAATGTTCAAGCTTGAACTACAGATTGTTTATTTATAATCATTAGTTTCAAAAATCTGAAAAACTATAAATCCAGTTTTTGAGACTCTCTTAAGCTTTTTTCTGACATTTTCACTTTCGTTGTGAACAAGAAAAAGATACATTCGGGTTGTATTTCTTCTTTATCTCATCGTTTGCTTCAGCCACTTTACCCAAACTTTAATTCTTAATATCTATTGATTTTTAAATTTGAAAAAGTTAATTCCATTGTCTACGCTAGAATACCACGTTCTCTCTTAATTTCTTCTCAGTTCTTAAATGATTAAAAAGAATTCAAGGGCGTCTGATCATTTATATCAAAGCCTAAATTTCAACGCAATATTACCGGATGGAAGAAGGTCATTGAAAATAACAATTAGATGATCACTTTGACAGTCATCAACCGTTAGTTTATTTTCATATAAATTTTCGGATCAAATAACTTTACAAACAAATTTTTCACCAGTATTCATTCATTTTCTTCCTTCATCCCATTCCAAACCTAAATGTTTCCAATGCAATTACGTTTTAAACGACACAAACCTAGCTTTTTCAGAGTCTTCTCTTCTTTGCTATCATTTGTAAGCTTTTTTCAACCAAACTTTCCAAGAAGTTATTGCTTTCATACTGTTGCATTTCTTTTCTACACATTTTATCAGTTTTCTCATCCTTCTTCCTCTCTTATAGAAAATCATCTCTTGTTCGAAAAAAACAGTTGGAGAAATAAGGAAAAAACATACAAAAGGAACAAGAATGGAACAGAGATAGAGAGAGCGAGAGAGAGAGAGAGAGAGAGAGAGAAAAGTTCATCAACCGCTTAGCACGTTTATATTAATGAAAAAGTAGTGATGCATAACACCTCAAAGCTCCGGACTGGAAATTAGCATAAGAAAATCAACCATCGATTGATTTGCGTATTGAAGCATTCCCTATTTCTCGAAACTTTGATAGAAAATGTTTTCATGTTTTACTTTTGTTCCTAGCATTTCATCGTTGTGAACTAAAAGACATCTGATAGATTGAAAACGATGAAATGCCAATAGGATGACCAGTTCTCCGTTCGATTTTAATGAATTCGCGTTAGAAATGAAGAATACAGTTTTAAAAGTTCCTTGAAATGTTTTGTTTTTGTTATTTCATTCAGTATAAACACAATTAATTGAAGCGATGGATGTGGATAATCTCCTAGAATTTTCCGGAGAAGAACCATCGAATGAATTAACAACAGTTTTGAATTTTGAACCAGATGAGTCGTTGTTAGCCAATGAGACAGCGATAATAGTTAAAGATAGTAGGTGCAAGCTATTATCTCACATACGGTGAACGGCACTTTCAGAACTGCTGCCTTATCAGCCGAATTATTATAAAATCTCATTACTCTCTATAAAATGTATTTTGACTCTACTAGTAATTCTTCTCTCAGCCGTCTCACGGAAAAGAGACTTTCTTAAGGCAAGTGCTATTTTTAAACAGATTTGTATTGAACATCCTCATTTGAGGTATTTGTTCTCCTTCTTATTACCCCTATCATTATTGAATGTGCTTTGGATATTTTCACCGAGATTAATGTGAGCACTGCCGTGTTTGGCATAACGTGAGTGATAGATTTATGGCGTACTCAAAATTGCTTCAATTAAGAGAGCAACATTGGCAGTACTACAACGGAAACTTTAACAATGTTTCTTTGTATAAGTTGCAAGAGTAAGTTATGGCAGATTTTCTCTTTCACAAAACGGTTTTTTCAGACAAGCTCTCACTGTATATTCGCAAGTTTTTCATTACTATACTACATATACTGTGAATCCCTCCATTGATTATGTCCCACTTGTTCTGTATATTTTGGGGGATTTCCTCTTCTGGACCACCATTTTCTATGCTCTCGTAGCTTTTTATTTCTCCCATGCGGCCATCCAAAGACCAGATGAAATCTCATATTCACATTATTTGTTAGTTTTTTTCCACCATTGTAATTTTTGAAATTTCATTCAGATGGACATATTTGAAGTTCTCCGTGTTTCCTATTGCTCTGACATTCTTAAATGTCATGATAACACAGTTTGAGCTTCCTGAAGCTGTTGCTTTTCCAACGATTGTTCTCATAAGATTGATAGGCATAATTTTCATTCTTGCCCTTGTACTGCAAACGTTTTTGGTAAGATGTTTGATTAAGTTATCGATTCTACATTTTTTTCAGTCTCTGTTTGTATTTTGCTCAAGAAGGGATGATTACACGAAGTCATCACCTTATGATCAAATCAGAAATTCGAAATGGAGGTTATTGTGGTTTATTGTCTTCCAGTTACTTGTTCAGGCGCTGAATATCCCATATATAGGTATAATAACGTTTCCGTCATTATTTCGTTTCCTCAATTTCCAGCTTGGTCCGCCTTATCTTTGACCGCGGATTTTGGTGATTTATTCGGATTCGAATTGGATTTCGAGAAGCAGATAGCAACTGAGTTTTTCATTCTTCACATAACCATTTATATGATTCGTTCTATTATTTTATTAGTTCTCATTATTGTTTTACTTGTTCCATACCGTAAAAGGTTTATTTCAACATTCTGCCCATGTTGTCGACGAGTTTAGCAAACGTCAGCATTTCTCATTATAACTTTCCCACCTTTTTCTCATTCAAACACATTTTTTATAATATATAGTTAAGGTTAATTCTGTTCTCCTCATGACTTGACTGCTGTTTTTTATTCCTTTGACAATTTTTTTCTCTTTCCAACCAAAAAACGGCTTCATCAGCATTCATTGTCAAATTTTCTTTTATGACAACTTCGTGATGTAATTACTATGAATAAAATGAAATTATAACCTTTTCCTAAAAGCTGATAGATTTCTTTTAAAAACCATTTCATTTCCTGCAATTTACTCATTCCCAAGATTGACTAAGCTTCAAAACAATCAATTTCATTAAAAAAAAGAATTTTTTATTTTGTCTCAATACAAATCAACAGCTGTTTTTTTCGCTTTTTGTTTCAAAAGTTTCGAAAAAAAAAAGAATTTTCCGTCTGATAGCTCCAATTTCTCATTTTGTTATTTCAGACAAGCTGAGAGATCTCTTCCAGCATGGTATGTTTCTCTTTTTTGTATTTTTTATGTTCAAAGAATACTCAGCAGTTCCAGTTCAATCATTAAACTTTTTACAGAATGATAGTGATGACGAGTATTATGATGATTACGTGTATATGCAGATCTGTCAGGAGTTTTTCTGTGGTACCTCTTATAGTTTATACGTTTGGAAAAAACAGATAATTCAGAGAACTATTTCACCAAAGGAAATATAATCAATTGGGGCATTCTAATCATTCGTGTAACTATTGCTGTAATTATACTCTTACTCGGAACAAAAGTAACACTTTTAATTAACTATATCAATCATTCACGTGAATGTGATGTGTGAATTCATTTTCTCCCGAGTTTCTTATGTGAACGGTTGATCGTATACTGTTACGAAAGCATAAGGAGAACTAATTAATTCTTTCAGATGCCCAAAGATTTCATGAGATCCGTTACTTTCTCCATTTTCATTCCGATTGCAGCAAGTGAGCTGCTGAACCTGTATAGAGAATGCGTGGTTTTTCGATCACTTTTTTTTGCCACGGAGGAGGAGAATACGCAATTTGTCGAGTACATAACTCTAATTAGCTTTTAATAACATATAAAAAAATTAATTTCAGCATATTTCTTTCGTGGACTCCCTTGTTAGGTGTAGTTATGAATGATTATATACATTATAATTGTATAATCATGACAATACTCCTATTATACTGCTGTCAGTTATGCTTCCGCCGTGGAGATGCTATAACTCCTTTCCCTGTAAAGTGAGAGTTCTTTGTAAGCATTTTACTCCATTTTATACAATTACAGTGCATTATGTCTCATATTACAAATAATTCCGTTTTTTCTCTGCGTTCTGATGGCAATTGAGGGCGAAGCCTCATTCGCAATCAAAGTCATATCTGTACTTTCGCGTTTAATAACAATTATATCCTTCATCATACTAACAATACAGATTTTCTTTGTATGTTTAGTTTATGTTCATCCATCCTTGCTTCTAAATTCACCTTTATAGTCATTTTATTTGATGACCAAATATCTTCCATATGATCATGCCGCGTCTGTAGATATGCAACTTCGTGATGCAAAGAGCCGGTTAGCCTGGACATTGCTTTACCAGACTATACCGTATGCAGCCTTGATTCCTTATTTTGGTTTTAAAGCAAATCTGTCTATTTATTTTCTACCGATTTGTTACAGTTGAATCATGTGTTTGGATAGTTGTCATGGGGCGCACAGAGGATCCGGCAATGAAACAAACTCAAATAATTATGGAAGTTTTGAAGGAACTTATAGCATATTATAGACCAACATGGCTTGTTGTGTTAACGATGACATGTCTACCACCATATAGGTACTGATAGTTAATTCATTATTCACTAATGTTTGTTTACAGAAGAGCTGTTCCGTTGTTATTCTGCTGCGGAAAAGTCAAAGTAGAACCTTTACCGAGGAAACCAGTTGAGACAAGTATAATGTACAAATATGCCGATTGATTAACGCATTATCTTCTTCTTAAAAAGCACTTGGCTTGTAGCGAGCATAAACGACTTGTCCAACATGAATAAATCCCTTGAAACTTCTTTTCAGAAATTGAAAATATTCTTCAACTTACAGGACGAGTCAAACCAGCATTAACCCCAAATATCGGACTGTCTTTGAATTCTTTTTTCATTGGTCCAGCCGGTGCCATGCGAACCCTAAAACATGCGGATCACCTACATCGTTATGAAACACTTACTCTCTCAGCTTTTTTAATGGCTGCATATCAGGATCTTTCTCTCCAGTTTTTGGGTTGACAGTCGTCAGAATACATCTAAACATGGACTAATGTGAGAATGCTGAAGAAAATCAACACCTAGTGCAAGGTTTGTAACATTGTAATTCTGTTTCTCCAAACCGTAGATCTAACCACTTGTCTTCATCCCAAGCAGGACATTTGTCGATCACAATACCTGGACGGAAGTTTAGTTGACTGAGCTGAAAATAAAAAGTAAAGTTTCGGTACACATCTGTGGGAACAACATCTTTATCAGGTAGTAGCGCCTGAAGATCATGAAGAGAAGCCTCAGTTTGAACCATGAAAGGGGCCAAATCAGCATAAGCAACCTGAAAAAACATCTCTTTGTTTGAGATTAGCTTTCTGGTACATACGTCATCAATACGTTTAGGAACTGGATTATTCATCCAGAAAGATGATTTAGAAACAGATGTTCTTTCAGTAAACAAATCATCGGTGTAAAACACCACGCGCACATCTAGAACATATTGGAAATCAAATAGGAAACTTGCCAAAATAATAAACTTTTCTCATTCAAATATGCCGAGAACGCCGCAGAAATTTCTTCACCGCAGTCTAAACCATCTGTCCGGAGATTCGCATGTAAACTTCAACGGAGAAAAACAATATTATCAAATCAGATATGATAGAAAGCCAACATGGAAAACTGTTTACTCTCAACTTGATTCAGCAGTCTTCTAGTTGTTGGAGTTTTATCATCTTTTTCAATTCCCACAATTTCAATCTCTCTCACTAACACAGTAACACATAACACAACGCTAAGAATAGGAAAAAAACGCTCACGTGGTTTTTCGAACATCACGTCGACTTTTGACTGATTCCAAATCAACGGAAACCTCGTTTCCTTGGGGAAATTTAACAATTAATTTGCCGTTCTCAATATTGGCATCTACCAACACTAATGTCGGATGTTTCCTGGCAGTGTAGAATCTGAAAATGATGTTGAAAGTTATATAAAGGTCTATTTATATTTCTTCTCGGAACCTGCCAGTGTCTCCTTCGATGACTTGGAAGTAGCGGTCTTGAATTTCTCCATGTTTCGTTCCTTTCGGACCGCAATACAGAGAGAAAACCTGAAATGAAACGGGAAAATGAGCTTAACAACAGTGTTTATCATACGCTCTTTCCTTTACAAGACTTGATGGGGTAAATATAAAGTTCCTTAACAATCCCAATCGGAACAAAAGAGTTTCTGTTGCTCTCCCAGTATTTTCGGAGATAAATGTAAGCCTGAATACAAAGATAATAATCTGAATTCTAAGAGCTGCTTACGCCGTAGCTAAGATAGGAGGCAGCTAAAATACCAAGGAGAGCTTTGTTATCCTGGATAATTGACATTCTGCTAGGAGAAAAAAGCAAAATCAATCAAAACCGTTTTGATAAAGTTGAAAGTCTATGATAAAAATTATTGAATAATGATTGCAAAAACGTATACTGTTGATGAAGGAAACTGTATTCGACAATAGAATTGGGAGAAAGAGAGAAACAGAGTATCTTTGGAGATAGTTGTGAAGACCATGAGAGTGCAGTAGAGCGTTGTTTAGATAAGAGAACATAAGAAAATATAAAGATAACTAAATGTGTTAATGATTCCTCTAATGAGGTTTCCGAGGCGGCAGTGTTTCGGAAGTTAGTTTTCTGCCAGTTCTCGTAGTCAGTTTATAGCTAAGAACAGTTTCTGACGATGCCTCTTCTTATGATAAGGGGATGTCGAGCTTATCCTTTCAAATTCTTAATTCCATTTTCATTATGAAGCTGAAGAGAGCACAGGGAATTATTATCCAAAAAAACTTGAACTGTAAAATGCAATTCTTCAAAACCAAAAAAATGATTCTTCTTTGGCGGTATGCATTATTTAACGAGGTTGCCGAGGCTATATTTCCATGCTGAATGAATACTCTATAGTCTTTTCTGATATTCTAAAACCCATTCTGGCTAATCAAAGAAGTGCTTGGCCGGCTAAAAAACGGGCATTGATCACTCTCAGGCAGACCCGAGAAAAACGCTGCTGCACATAAACGAGACAGTATGGGTTGAGGGTAGTACGCAGAGAAAGTCGATGATAAGACGCAGGGTGTTCTGCGGCTCGTCAACCGCACCCCGGTTTAAAAGATTTCGGTCCATCCGGAAGTTCTTTTGTGCTTATAAACTTTTATTAATTTATGATTGTAATCTTTCGTGAAAAGTAATTTGCAAAGTAAACGCAGAAAGAAGCATCAATGCTGATGATCAACGTTTTTTGTGCGTCTGAAGTTGAAGTTCTGTTAGTGACGCATAATCGCATTATTATTACGCGCGAACCTCATCGAAAAATTGTTTCTATATCAATATATTTTCATTAAATCATTGTAGAAGAGGTAGTAATCCTGGCGAAATTCTAGAGGAGGGGGAAAGGTAGTTGTACATGAAATAACGAACCAATTGTTTTGTTGATTCTTCTCTTTCATGGATATTTTCTACTTTCTCTTCATTTTTTCGACTTACAGGTATTTTGAAAGCCATGAATTGCTGTAGATCGCTCATGGTATAATGTTCAACACGAAGTGCATATTCAATAAGAAAGCAGACACCTTAAATCATATTGCCTCCGTTTTAATAATTTAAATTATATTTATTTTTGCAATTTCAACATTAACAATGCCAGATACAATCAGTATCAATGGAAATAAGGTGAGTGCCTTCTTCGTTACATTACTATTCTCTTTTTCTAAGGTTCCTGTGGCTCCTCCACCGCCTCCGGTTGGGACAACTTCCAAAAAACCCGATACTCCTGTTTCGGGAAATAAAAGAAAAATGATGAAACGGGTTGATGAGCTACATCCAGCAGCAGACTCTAGCTCGTAAGTTGTTTTTTGACATTTCCACTGAATATAGGGAGTTGTGGGGAGGAACTGTACTAAACGAACTCAAAATATTTCGATTTCGATGTCCACTCCTCCTGACGGCTTTGTTCATTGTTCTTCCTGATCGCATTACAAACTGATTTGAAATTCCAATGCTGGCCAAATCTGTGGAATGTATGACTGTTTAATAATAACGTTTGATAGTCATGTTTTTATTTTTTTCGAATAATTTTAATTTTAAAAAATGATTTCTCGTTGTCATTAGGTAAGTTTCAAATTTATCCTGTAAAACAAACCTATTTTTACTATTTTTTATTGCTTCAGAATGGGGACGCACTGGCTCTCCGGTGAAGAACGTTCCCGCTTAGAAGCTGTCCAACGGGACTGGAGACAAAGCAGACCAAACCAAAGAGTGCTACTATTATGAGTTATTCCGTTCAATCTGTTGTTTTAGCCATGGATACGAAAGCGAGATCCAAACGATTTGAATTCGTTAGCTTCTCCTAAAGATTCTCAGCCAGTGAATGTAGTAGACAGGTCCGAAAAAATTTTAACAATTGATGCCTCTCCTGGTACAGGTTTATTTGAAAGAAAAAGGTTTTTTTAATTGAATTAGGCTAGTTTATGAATATGAGTTCTTGAAGATTAAGTGTTAAATCTCCAACTACAGCGTCGGGAACTCCAGAAAAGCAGATTGTACCTGAGCCCGAGCCGGTGAAACGAGAAGAAGAGCAAAAACGAGAAGAGAAGGTTTCAATTTTTTTCTCATTTGTTCATTCACTTAACTTTGTTCAACAGGAAAGAAAAGAGGCTGAGATTCGAGAAGAAGAGCAGAAAGCGAAAGATGCTATAGAGTTGGATGACTACGATGCTCAAGAAAAGCCTATTGATAAAAGTCAAGGCATGTAGAGAGAATAGATTTATATGATTAACACCATTGCTTTAAGATGGAAGGTTTTTGAAATTCGATGAAGAACTTGGACGGGGGTCTTTCAAAACAGTTTATAGAGGTTTGGATACTGAAACTGGAGTAGCTGTTGCTTGGTGTGAACTTCAAGATAGTAAATTGAATAAGGTAGCCATTTGAGCTAATGTTTCTTGTTAATTTTCGATCACAGACTGAGCGTCAGCGATTTCGAGATGAAGCAGAAATGCTAAAAGGCTTACAACATCCTAACATTGTAAGATTTTATGATTACTGGGAGCGTTCGGATCCATTGGGAAAAAGAAAGTAATTTTTGAAGTCATTCGTATAGTTTATTCATGGATTTTGCTTTCAGATATATTGTCCTTGTTACCGAGCTCATGACTTCTGGAACTTTAAAAATGTACTTGAAACGTTTTAAACGGATAAATATCAAAGTTGTAAAAACCAAGTTGTGCTTTCATGTTGTATGTTTTAGGTTCTGAAATCATGGTGTAGACAAATTCTGAAGGGATTATCCTTTCTTCACTCTAGAAATCCTCCTGTAATTCATCGTGATCTTAAGTGTGACAATATTTTTATTACTGGAACTACTGGAAGTGTAAAAATAGGAGATCTTGGATTAGCTACGTTGAAAAATAAATCATATGCAAAGAGCGTGATAGGTATGTTTGTCTTTCAGCCATCTTAAATTATTTGAATAGTTGGGGCACAGTTCAATCTTTTTTTCGATTATCAGCTGCGTATCATGTGCTTGTTATGCTATCAAACTAACTTCCAACGAAAACGATTGTTGGAGGGCATCAAAAATTAAAACGAAAACGGTGTAGAATCTCCATGTTCCAGGAACACCTGAATTTATGGCTCCTGAAATGTATGATGAGATGTATGATGAATCAGTAGACGTGTATGCTTTTGGAATGTGTTTATTAGAAATGGTCACAGGGGAATATCCTTATACGGAATGCCAATTTCCTGCTCAGATTTATCGAAAAGTTACTACGGTAGTGACTCATCTACGTTTCATAGCATGCTAATGAACTTCCAGGGTATGAAACCTGAATGCTTTAATCGTATCCCTCAACAATATCCCGAAATAAGAGAAATTATTGATCGTTGTATAAGGTGGGTTCAAATTCAACTATAATAGTTAATCTGTGTTACTCCAGAGTACGGAGAGAAGAAAGAAGTACAGTTAAACAGTTATTGGCTGATGATTTCTTCACCCCGGAAGAGTTGATTGGTATTAGAGTTGAGATTATGAATCGAGATGTTCATTTAGCAGAGTTGAATCTTGAGGTTATGGGTGAAAGCTTGGGTTTTCTGTAACTTTCTTCTATTCAGATTCAAATGCAGCTGAGAGTTTTCGATGAAAAAAAAAGGAAACAGTATCGTTTCAAAGAAAATGAGGGCTTACAGTTCGCTTTCGATATTGAAAATGATAAAGCGGAAGAAGTTGTACAGCAAATGGTTGAGCAGCAGCATATTCCTGAGGAAGATACAAAAATGATAACAAAGTTAATCAAAGACAAGGTTACTCATATCTATCATAAATGTGTTTGAATGTGAATGGCTCAGGTGGAGGGATTCAAAAGAGATCGCGACTTCCGCATCGCTGAGATTAAGCGACAGCAAGAAGAGGAGGAAAGACAACGAGAAGAGCAAGAAATAAAGGAAGAGCTGAAAGCTCGAGCTAAAGAGAAAGAAAGGATGGAACAACAGGTTCGATTATAAATTAAACGTTCAACTTGATAACCATGCGTTCAAGAATGCTATGCAGTTACAACAGAATGCGGTTGCGGCTGCTGCTGCAGTAGAAGCTGATCAACAACATCAGCATACAACTCCACAAGTTCAAAACACACTCATTGAAATGAATTATCATTCTGTTGCAGAGTACTACGGGTGAAGATCATACTGATAGCTCTCATGTGCACGAAGAGAAAAGGAAAGCAAAAAGAAAAATCATTATTGAAATATTAAAAGTAGATGATACGAAAGATCAGCCAGTAAGTAAAATCATTAATGATACAGACTTTGATGATTTTTCCAGCTGGTTTCATGTAAGCTAGACACTGCTCATAAAACGGTCACATTTCAATTTGCTCCCGATTCTGACAAGCCTTGTGTGATAGCCGAAAAATTGGTCTGTTTCATATCGAAATCTATAAATGCTAATATTTTATTAAGTTGGCGGAAAATTGTCTCGCTCAGCATCATGTTGCAATAGTAGAAGAACAGTTAGAGGAAGTTATAAGAGTATTTTATAGTTAATTGAAGCAAATCACATCATCATTTTTACAGTTGGTCAACACATCTCCTAATAAGGGTGTAGGTTCGAAACTGACGACTGTTGTGGAGACGCAAACAACACAGTCAACCAGTAATCCAACACCATCGTCCACTACTGCACAATCTGTAACTGATCAACTAATATAATATAAAAATCATTTATTAAAGGCAACTCTACAGCAGCCTCAAGTCTCAGCTAGTGCTGGTTCTTCTCAGTCACTTCCCGCTGCTACGCTGCAGACAACACCCCAGTCTTCTCAACCTCAATCACAAACACCATTGCTCTCCACCCAATCGTCTACTAGTGCCAATGGTACAGGGACAAATGCACCGCAGAAAGTTACAGATGCTTCACCTACTGGAGCTGTAACCTCTACAACGACTTCCGCTTCCTCACCTAGTCAGGCTTTCAACACCACGGTAACCACCCTTACTCAACCAGCTCTTGTTCCACGAACTAACTCGAGTGTATGTTGATACAATCACCTTCTCATTAAATTTGTGTCGATTAAGGCTGCCATAACTACTCATGTAAATGAATCTTCGATTCCATCAGAATCACAAACTCCCTCTATAGCACAATCCACTTCTGCTGTTGTTTTAACAACAATCACTGCTTCTGCTCCATCTGTTACGCCTGTTCAAGTGAAAACTTCACGTTTTCAGGTATATTAATAGGCAGTACTCTGTTCAACTTTATCCAGGTGACACCATCTACTGTAACTTCGGTGACTCCTCCACCTGCTTCGCCTACCATAGCCCTAGGAGTTGTTGTAACATCCTCTGAAGCTAGCAGCGTGCAACAACTCACTGTACCTCATGCTGTATTATCATCTGGATCTTCGCCTAGTACAACAGCTCACTCCAATACGTCTTCTGTAACAAGCAATACTAGTACTGGCAGTCGGTTCAAGGTTGTCCCAGCTCTGTGCTTCAAAACCCATTATCGTTTGGTATTCGTTTCAGGTGCAAGCCGTTCCTCAATCAAGTTTGGCACCGACGCCATCGGCTGAATCCGGGTTTTCATCATCGAACTCTACTCATACGGATGGAAGTTTAACTAGCTTAGTTTCCTCTATTCACACTCCTATTGCTCAGCAATCTCAGAGAGTTTGTTTTTCTTCAAGTTATACCACAACTATCATTTATTCTAGTCTACTACATCCAGCTCTCAAGCAACTCCTGGTACTTCTGTGGAGCCAAGTATATCAACTGTTTCCGTTGATAGTGCACTCCTGAAATTAGAAACTGATTTACAAAAGGTTGGATTAAAACTCGTTGTAAGTTCATCAAAGTGTCATTCGTAGGTTAGTGGAGTTCCCAGCGTGTCAAACAATGTACAACATTTGTCTTCCAATGATGCGATGTCCCAATCATTGCACTCGTCTAGCGGCATTCCTCATGTGCATAGCTCAATTATGGTATTTAACCTTTCAGAAAAAAGCTATCTTTAAGTTTTTGCAGACGGCTAATGTACATCATCCAACTACCCAAACTGCTGCAAGTTTGCCTCACACTCCAGGACATTTAGTAGATAATGCAACCAATTTAGCTGGTATTGTTTCGAACTGGTTTTTCAGCAGAATAATTTTTAGGTCTTTCTGAGAAATTAGCGGCCCTGAGCCAACAGCGCAACGAAGAGAACGATATCACCAATTCTATAACCAGCGCTAACTCTGTTCCAACTCTTCCGGTGTCAGCCCCGCCAGGACAACCCAGTGGGTCTACAAGTCATCAAGAAGATATTCATGTAGATACTTTAAATGGTTTAGCTCAAGCTCTTCAAAAGGTTTGCTGCTCAGTTTTTCTACTCACAATCTTATTAAGGTGATTAATACGGAACCCAGAGAACCAACTCCTTTCATGCCAGATTATGGGCGTTGCTCACCCCCTCATGCTCCATCGGAATCCGGACATCATGTAAGTTTTCATCATTATTTCCTTTCTTTAGCCTTTGTTCTGCTCCTATGTGTTGTAGTTAGTAAATGTAGCTCTGCTAGCATCTGCCACTTTGTTTTGGTCACACTTGTAATTTTGCTAACCTGCTTACTGTCTTAGCCACTGGCCGGCGGAGTTTTATCTGCGTCTTCACTGGCTGATGATGAATCCTGCTCCACGGATGGTGGGACCACTCAAGACGGCCTTCCTGCCTCTCAAACTGCTCCAGAATTAACAAGAAACCAAAAAAATAGGCAGAACGTGACAACGCTTGGTAGCCTGGATAACGCTCTCTCGTCGACTTTGGGTACTCATATCAGACCAACTATAAGCAGAGAAGAGCCTGCACCAAGTGCGGCGGCCTCATTTCATGTTGGAACCCCTCCGCAATCTAGTCCAGAGGATTCTGACTTAGAACAGGTTAATTTTAGTTAGCTTGCTTGCTGCATGCAGTGTACCTATTTTCTCAAGTATTTAATTATTAGTTTACCCTTTTGAGTATGTTTTCCTTGAAAAAAGTCGAGTTAACAATACTGCTTAGTGCCCCACTATGGCTTTGAAGTTTACGTTCATGTTCTGTCGCTTTTTCGCTTTTTATTTTATTTTAACATTACGTATCTAACTGACTATTGTTTCAGGGGGAGGAAGAAGATTATGAAGACCCTGAAATACAAGAACTGCTTAGAAGGTGAGGATTTATCCAAAACTATTTATTGATACGAATGCTTCAGGCACAAAGTTCAACTTTTGCAATTGAGAGATAAGCAAATGAATGAGCTCAATGAAATGAGGGCTAAAATACATGCTCGTTCAATAAGAGCAAATACAGTCCCTCCTGATGTTACTGTGAGTAATCAACAGCAGAGCTCTGTGTCTTGAAGTTATGTGAAAGACAAATAAATTAATGTTTATTTTCAGATATTATTTGTTGTGATTGAAAAGTTAAAAGTTTCTTTCTTGTGCCGAGTTTATTTATCTCTGTTTTCTCTTGTGGCTTTCTCTGGTCACTTAATTTGTTGTTCTTCCCCAATTCACGTAAAACCCACACCTAAATTCACCCTATTCCCCAATTTTTGGTTTTATTACTTTTTTCTTTCAACTCCATTTTCGCTTCACGCGAAATACATCACTCCTGCTTAGCTTATAATATTTATTTTAGTTCAAACGGACACAAAATCGAGTTAAATTTTCTCAAACTGCATTTGATACAATAATATCTCGTCCGACAAAAATTTCCTTGATGACTAGATAAACATTTGAGTCATAATTTTTGTTTTTAACCCTCGTGTACTTGACTAGGAGGTCTTTCGTCTGGCCTAATCCATCAAATTATGGCGTGCATTTTCTTGAAGTTTTAGCGCTTTGGTTGGTTTCGGATTCTCTCAGACTTAATTACGGTTTAAAACTGCTCTGAAAGAACTCATCTGCCTTAGCTAGTCATTATCGTATTTTAGAATTGTGTGAGAGATTGAGGTCCCTGTTGATTTGTTCATTTGTTCAATCATAACGCTTCCCTTCCTTTCATCCTTGTATCCATCCTTGAAATTTGGATAATTTATCGTAGATAACGAATATATTATAGAAAACATTCCCCATCGGCTATCCTATATTATATTTACCCTATATTGTTTTATTTTTCTCTCCTAATCACCCGGTTCTGATTTTGTTAAATCTTTATTTAGTCTAGTTTGGCATACTAACCCGTCTGAGGCACTTAGTTTGAAATCCTTCTCATTGCTTCAGAATACATTTTTGTTTGTTCATATTTGTTATACTGGTTTTTTACAAGTCTATACCCAAGCTTTTTCATGTCATCTCCGCAGCAATTCTTAAATTGTTCTCTGTTCAAGAGTTGTTCTTTGAGGTTGTTACTATTAGGTCAAAACTATAGAAGCACTAGAAGATTAACTTTTTCTCTTTCTCTAGCTAATTGATATTCTTCTAGTTTTAGCAAACTTAGTTGCAGTGTCGTTGACCATTGTACTTGGGTTTTTACTTGCCAAGAAGTTTCTAAATATCCGACTTAGTTGATTGGTTGTGCAATCGTAAACAATTTTAAGATGCTTTGCTCTTGTACATAAATACATTATCAATATGTTCCATTTATAATTTCTCTAACCATGAGTAGAAATTTCAATAAGCTTAGTGTTGGATGTTTCTTGTACAAGTCATTCTATATCTATTATATGGATATGGATCAGTCCTTTACACTGCGTTGAGCATTACAGGGGAGAATAGAATGTCGTTTAATGCAGCATAAATCATCAAAATCTACTCTTCAAATCTTGTAGATATATACATTTGAAAGGGGAAATCGTCTTGGATGTTTCTAAATTTCATAATTTTGATTAGACTCGTTCCAATGAAAGTTTACTACCATAATAATATTATCCGACACGACGCTGTTGTCGCATCTTTTTATGTTGCCGGTAGTTCTTTCATTCAACTCTTAGTTCGCAATAGTTTAATTCATATTATGATGAATTCTGCTGTATTTTGATCGCCTGTTCTGATCAATTTCATTAGCTTTGCTTTGTCTGCTCTTTACACCCGTTTCTACTGCCATTAGATGTCTAGTATTTCTTCTCGAAATTCTGGACCTATAGCAAAATCATCACGAGCAGCCAAGCATAAAAGTTTGTTATGTAAAGTTATACGTTTTTTCTTGATCATCGGAAGTTCTGATTTTATCGGAAGAGTAAATTAGGTAATCTTTTCAAATGAGTTAAAAAAAATTTTAGTAATGAATTTTAGAAGGGTAGTAACTGCTTAAGCACAAGGATGTCATGCGTGATACTAAGGAATAGGTCGTTGTGATGAAAATTTCAATTGTGCATTACAACTAATCGGCGATCAGAGCTTCTGGAATGAGCGGTCGTGCCTCACTAACCTATTCACTTGGGCTTGAGTTCGTTTTTTTTTCCAGCATCAACGATTTTTGTATTTTGATTCTGGGCGGAGTCGCTTACCACTTGAAACGCCATTCTGTGTTGTGGGCGAGTGAATAGTGGTTGTGTGATTTATTAGTGTTTAGAGGTATACAGTTTTCAGTTTACAGGTTAAAGGTTAAAGTTTACAGGTTTAGAGGTTTGAAGGTGTTCTAAGGTTTTGAGATTTTGAGGTTTTGGGATTTGAGGTTTTGAGTTTTTGAGGTTTTGTGTATTTGAACTCCAGTTGGAGTCTCATCTTAGTTTTCGGTAGCTTTCAGTAGCTTTCCTGTGTCGTGTTTGTCGTACAGTCAGCTCTACCGCTCATCTTCTGTGGTGATGTGTTCTAGAACAGTGCAGAAAGTCACTGTTCAAGAAACGTTGAAAGATTCTGAACTCGTGCTCAGTGTGTACAGTTATTCGCTGGCCCAACTCTCAAAAATACGAAATCAAACTAAAGAATAGATTTTTGTTTCTTAGATGTTTTTACCGATCAGGCTCTATCCCTTTACCGATTAGTTCAAATACTATTTTCTTAATTTTCATCTAGTTTCATTAATTACATGTATCATTGCGATCTTTGCAAGTTGCTTTATTGTATCAGAGTCATCTAATGAGATGGAATCTTTCAGTCTACACGACTTCTAGTGTGAACAGAATCTTTATCAGAATGTATTTCTCTCTGTATCACAAACGACAATGGGAAAGTAACCAGTTTGGAAATCCTCCATTTTATATTTTGTTTCTTGAGCTAAATTTCAATACTTTTCGTTCGTTTTTGATTGTAACACCGCGCACAATTTTTGAAAAGAGGAAAATGAAACTGCTCTTAACACCGTTTAGT